ACTATATATAATAACCTATCGAGTTCTTAGGTTTTCGCGATTGTTACACATAGGAAATGAAACTATTTTTCCGGATTTAAATCGCGTATATTTGTTTTTTCAAACAAACCGACGTTTCGGGCCCTTTACAGGTCCCATGGTCACGGTTGACTGAGGTGGTACAGTCTCCAACCAGTTATGTCTAATATTGATGCAAACCACCTTATGTTTTCACTATAGTTACAATAGTTATTAATTAAATACTTTATTTTTAATTTTGCAAAGAAAACATTCCCATGTACGCTACATTAAGTTTTACTAATTATTTTATTGAATGAATTTTTATTAAGTTCAATTTAAAAACTACATATTTAATAGTTAATTAAAGATTAAATGTAATTCCGTTTGTTTTGTAATTAGATGTTTTGCTGTCTATCACACACCACCCAATGAAACAGCCCCCCATTGTTAGAGATATACGGATACGTATAAACAGGTCAGTAGTTGGCACTGTATTATTTCAGCTTTCTAATTAGTGATTTCAGCGCAAACAAGAGTTTATTATTTAAAAGTGATGTAAGGCCCATTGGCAAACGTAGTGTGGGACGCCCTCCAGCCAGATGGAGTGACGATCTGCGGAAGATTGCTGGCAGGAAATGGATGCGTCAAGCCGAGAACAGGGCGAAATGGCGTGCATTAGGGGAGGCCTATGTCCAGCAGTGGACTGCAATAGGCTGCTGATGATGAAGGCCCATTTGCCTGATGAGTTGCCATAGATGGATGGCCCTTATTTCGTCTTTATTTCTGGTTCTATACTCGACGATTGTATGCAATCATTATTTAATTAGGTCTAAAATATCGTACATGCTTGTCGGTATTTTACAGAATATATCACGGAGAGTGTGCGATGGAATTACACGATTTAATTCCGCCTTCCCCTTTCCATCCCTATGTTGTGAATATTCCAAATGTTTGTACGAAGCGTTATGCTTCCACATTTATATGACGAACGGCTATGATGAGGACTTCCCTGGCTGCAGACTTGTTCCCTGAACGTTATAACTTGAGACTTTTCAAGGCGAGAGTGAATAGACGTTATTTAGGTGTGCATGCGCCATCGTCGACCTCATCGTCACTTTCCATCAGGTGAGATGGAGGTCAAATGCACACTTACATTTGAATTAAAAAAAATTTTTTTGTATAACGTCAAGTGACAGGACGAACAAGTGTGCGCCTGATTGTGGACACTTCAAACACACGCCTGTCCATAACAGTTATAGTGCCACTCAGAGCTTTAAGTTGCAAAGATCTGAGGGGCACTACCACTGCGCCCGTCGCCCTGAGACATAAGTTGACAAGTGTCATGTGCCTGTAATTTCACCAGCACCCTTACCCTTCTGATGCATTACCGCTTGGCAGCAGAAACAGGTAAGGTGGCAATACTACCCTGGACAAACTCTTTCACCCGAAAAACCCGAACGGTTACCATGCCAGACTGACGCAGAGGTCCCAGGTTCGATTCACGGGCCGGGAGAAATATTTGTATAGGCTACATTTATTTCTCTCGTGAGTTTGGGTGTAGTTTGTGGTTGCCTAGGTGTGTCCATGATTTCCCTAGTGCGGGATTATGTCGAGTGTGTGCGTTATTATTATTATTGTATTAAGTATTTATAATAAGCATTGCGCTCTTTTGGGTACCATATACTTACCATCTTTAAGCCACTTCATTAGATTTTCCACATTATTGCTATTGCTGTTGACAAACAGCTTGAAAGTTTCATCAATAGCCATAGGTCTCGATTTTACTTGAAGATTTGGTCTCAAGTTTTCATGTTGTCACATAGCTTTTATGGATGTGTAGGTTGGTACCAGATGACTGCATCGAGATATGTTATTGCCGAGTGCGAAAAAGCCAAAATTTTGGTAATAGTCTTCTATTTATCCACTTATTTGGAGGTATCTGAAGATTAAGTGCTGGAAGAGGTGTTACTTCAAAATTTGACAACGGTTCACCAAAGTCATACATGGTTCTGAGATATTATTGAAAAACTGATAAGTAGGTTTATTTTTTGTGTTTGTTGTTATTCATCTTTTCGAAATTATGTCAACTAGATTATTTATAAAACCGTGGTTTGGACATGGTTACGTAAATTTTGATGTCAGATTTCATATGACATGAAACCTTAGACTATGGAATTTTTTTTCCGTCCTCTAAGCATGAAACACCCGAAGATGACAGAAGATTGAAAAAGTTTTCAGTAAAAAGTCTTTAAACATGTACCTATACACGGTACAAGAAAAAAGAGTTTACAAAACGGAAAATATCCAACACCTACATCTATAGAGCAATTGAATGACCCAGTTCAAGAAATCCCTAAGTCCATTTAGGAATTTTGTGCACTATTACCACCATTGGCGAAAACTCAACATTGTCTATGGTTTAGTCTCACCGTTTTATTTCTAAGTAGTTCCTTTAAAATGTTTTGAAAAATCATTAAATCCCCAAGTCCAATGAGTAGACTTCAAGATCAACCTAAGTCCAAGAAATCTCCTTAGTCCATCTTTTTTTATATAAATAGTTAAGTTGATACTGAAGAGAGAGAGAGAGAGAGTTAAGTTGATACTGAAGTGTTTGAAGCTCTTGGAATATGTACCCATTCATTTGTTAGATTTTTATGAAATTAATACTCAAATGGCAGAATACACTGAAGATGAAACAGAAGAACTGCAATAAGACTTGATTCTAGTTCTTCTGTTTCAAAGTCAAAGTTTACTATATATATTATATACATATATTACTAGATACGACGCAAGCACATAGAAAAATTCGTGAGGTCTGCTGGTTAGTTCCGTAGCTTAGTTGGCGAATCCGGCCGGATCTTTGATCTTTGTATTAATAATAACAAAGTGAAAACCACAGACCACATGTGAAAACCATGAAAATTTACTGTTTTCAACGATAATGAACAAAATCTTTGATCGAACTTTGCATCAATTAAAAACACGTGCCATTGAACATATTTAGTAGCAGTAGAGGTCCTTTGAAAGAGTTCGTCCGGGGAAGTACTGCTACCTTACCTGTTTCTGCCGCCAAGCAGTAATGTCAGCATTACTGTGGTCCGGGTAAGGGTGCTGGTGAAATTACAGGCACATGAGACTTGTCAGCTTGTAGAGTGACGGGCGCTCAGATGTTTGCGATTCAAAGCTCTGAGTGGCACTGCAACTGTTATGGATAGGCGTGTAGCTTACCGTCAGGCGCACGACTTGTTCATGTCGTCACTTGATATTACAAAAAAAAAAACAAGTTGATTTAAGAAATTCATTATAATATGTTTTTTGTTTGCCATTAAAAAGATCATATTTTAATATATTTTAGGCATTTTCTCAGAACATATTGGCAGATTCCGGCAGATTTTCAGCCGCTGTAGGGCACCTGATGGTCACACCGATCTTTGCTCTGCTCTTGAGTTACTGAGCGAGTCGAAACTTGGCTTGTTGGGCTGACGCCCCAAAATAGAGGTTAAATGTCCTCTCTTGTTTGTAGTACTTGGAATTTCCCCTAATTTGAGACAAGAACATAAAGTTAAATAAAAATCGTTTATTTCCCACTCATAACATCAGAAAAGGCCTTGGCAGCTGCCTGAAAAGCTTCTATTATCTTGGGGCCTTGTTTTGCCATTGCGTTTTTCACGTCGTCTATTTGCTGAAACAATAATTGTGAAGAACATTATTTTAAGTGTATAAAATTATGACGATATTTATTTACTTTGATAATATAATTATCTGATAATTTTCCGATACATATCCGATAAAAGCCTCCGTGGCCGAACGGTTACCATGACTGCCAAGCAGAGGATCCAGGTTCGATTCCCGGGCCGGGAGAAATATTGTATGGCCTATAGTTATTTCTCTCGTGAGTTTGGGTGTAATTTGTGATTGTCTATGTCCATGGCACCCGCGACACAGGGTTTGGGTAGTGCGGGGCTATGTTGAGTGTGTGCGTTATTATTATTAATTATTCATGACGATTCGTACTTTTTAACCGACTTCAAAAAAGGAGGAGGCCTAATTCGACTGTATATTTATTATGTATGTATGTTACGCGATAACTCGGCATTTATGAACCGATTTTGATGATTCTTTTTTTGTTGCAAAGAGGGTCCATCAGTATTGGTCCCATTTAAATATAAAGAAAATATTCCACCTCTAAGGGTGACAAACTAGGGAATTAATTTCGCGTACTTTCCGCTAACCGATTTCAATAAATCTTGGGAAATAGATGTAATTCCACGGACTTTTAAGGTCGGTTTTTTAATACTCTGTACTGAGATTATACAAAATAAAGAGTTGAAATGTGACTATTTGATACTATTACAGTAGTGCGTGATCATATGGACCTGTTTGTTTTCCGTAGCTACGTGTTGAACGACTGCCTGGAGCTTTTCTAATTCCACCTTCGCTTCGTTGCTTGACTCCGAAAGCATTTCTCTTGCCTTAGTTTCGGCTTCTTGGTGCATTAAATTTGCTGGAAAATACAAAAAAAAATCAGTAGCAGTGCTACTGCGCCCGTCACCCTGAGACGTAAATTGACAAGTCCCATATGCCTATAATTTCACCAGCACCCTTACCCTTCTAAAGCACTATCCATGTATCTCATATTGTTTAAGCTTAAAAGAAAGAGCTGGGCAGTCTAACTGCAGCTCTAACGGGTCAGGGTCATAAAATAAACACCTTTTCAATTTAGGTAGGTATCATGGACGACGGGCAGCCTTGTATGTGGCAGTCGTAACTCTTAATGTATATTAGTACATAATCATTAACAATGATTTCGTCCTTTGAGTGAGTTTCTACATCAAAGAACAGTCCCCTATCATTCTACATAACTTTTGTTTAGCTCCCTATCAACCTCTTAGTTATGCGGGAAGGGTACTCTTACCTGTGCGCGCACAGGTAATAGACCAGACCAGACCTCTGTCACTTGACTTCATCCGGTTCTTCGAGAGGCTAGTGCCTCGAGTGAGCCCCGATAGCCACCCCGGGTGCACGTACAGTACCCTCCCTATTTTCCAGATAGGTACCGGAGCTGTAGGCACGCTCACTTCCCGTTGCGCATTGCACAACTACGGTTGCCACCGCTAAGCCGTCGACTTTGAGTCCACTACCAAATCTCCTCATTGGTGGCGGAGCTGTAAGGCACGCTCACTTCCCGACAACGAAAAACAACGTCTCTCCAGTTCCCAATAACCTAAGCGGCTGGAAGGACCGGAGGACCTCTAGCTTATCCTCTAGCTAACTAACTAGCTCTCCGAACTAGTGCTGGAGGTGCCAGTCACGGTGTCCTGCGACAATGTCCGGACATAGCTTCCAACTTCAAGGGCAACTCACGTGTCCCGCGCGTCTCCTCGCTTCAGGCCCTCAACTAGACCGTTACTAAGACGCGCTAGCTGCTCACGAGACAAACGCCCCGGCCACACCCAACCGGGGCAGACAAACATGTTCGTCTCTGCAGCTAGCCACAAACCACAGCGAGTACATACCCAAGTCCGGGTCCACCAGAGACGCCGCAAAGGCGTATCACTGGCGGAAGGCTTAGCCCGGACGCCCGCTGTACCCTGGTCTTGCCGTCGAGCCCGTAGTCTCTCCGAAAAACCCTATCTCTCTGGTCGGTACCGTATAGGGAGACATCAAAGGACAATAAAATTTCTTAGATATCATCTTCAAGATGCTGTTACTACTGCCGCATACTCTGTCTATAAGCGAGTTCGGTTGCGCCATACTGCGTTGAAACTATCTGTAGGTACGTGTCTCAACGAATATGCTCGAGGCACTACAGAATCGCGGCAACCGCAAGAACACACCGAAGGTATTGTTGTATTGGATGCGCAGAGCATTGTAAGCCATCTGAGTGCAACCGACTCATAGACTACTGTGGCTGTACATCGTGCAAATCTGCGGGTCAGCTTGTTCGCCCGGACTGACAACGTTCTGTGCTCCTTTACTATATCTGCATCATCACTAAAGTCTTCGGTAAGCAACTGTCCAAAGCGTTTGAACTAGTGCACTCTCCAAAGGGGAACACTGTTGAGTACAATAGACGGAAAAAAGAAAACGCTCCAGCGTGACCAACTACAGGGCGAAGTACCTTGTCCCCGAAGTCTTTACGCAAACCCAGGAAGGTGCTGAGGTTCTTGGAGGAGCTGGGTGGCACGAGTAGGACCCTGCATCCAACATACGCAAAATAAGCGCCTGGACGTCGAGTTGCTGACACCAGCCCGTTACACCATACCATATCGTACCGAATAAATTAAAATCCAATTCCAGGACTCGTAGCCCGTACTTCCAAAGTTTCGGACTAGTAGTGGGAACGTACCTGATTTCAGCCAATTTACAATATTATCTACAGTATTGTAGCCAGCTTTCTGCATCTTCTTGTAAGAATCTTCCATTGACATATCAAAATAAACTTTCTTGATACAAAAAAAGCTTTACTGTAGCCGTTTTTATTTTCAAGACTAATTTTATTATACTAAATCTATGAATTTATAGACGTTATTTATGGATAAATTAGTAATATTAGATAATTCTGCTTCAATTATTTGAGAATGTCATCGATGTCATGGATAGGTCAATCAACCTTTTTAAAAACCATAGCAAAATGCTGTATGATGTTAAACTGTGAAAGTTTCCTTTTTTCCATCCTATAAGGAAGGCTGAACCAACCAATATATTAGCGGTTACGATGTCTGGAAATATTTTTTTAAATCGTTTTGATAACTTACTTATACATGGGCTCCATTGCAACTTAGCATCTAAAGTTATACCTAGTATCTACAAGGCTAACCGTATTCATCCCCTGAATCCGGTTTCGTGCAATTTTCGGTAACCGATTTCAATAAAACTTGGTAAATAAATGTAAGTCCACGAACTTTTGAGGTAAATGTGTTTTAGTACTCTATAATAAGATTATATTTTTTTATACAGCTTTCACGCACTATTATGTTCTGTTGAACATAACTATAGCTACAAAGGAGCGCCCACTTTATATTTACACTACTTTTTATGTTTATACAAGTCCATAATCCGCTCTCTTGGCCCGTCGTGGGTTGCGGAGTCTCTTACCTATTAAAACAACCTTTGAACATTCCACTCAGCAGGCGAACGACCTAAAACCAGGCTGCAACATAATACTTCAACGACTGTACACCGACGAGACACTTAGATTGTAGAAACTTTTTTTATAATAGTGTGTGCTTAGAATAATAACGCACAGTAACCTAGCCCGCACACGCTAAGTGAGGCAAATTGAAGCGCGCCAAAAGGGCCTACACGAGCGGGCGGGCCGTTAGTGCTCAAGGTCAACTTGCACCGTGAACAACTCCAGAATTTTATCTAAAAATGACGAAATGTGCGGTAAATGAGTGTAAAAATACCTCAGACAAACATAAAATAGATACTAACATCACATTCCACAAGGAAGTAACGCGTTTCAACTTGTATTTTTATATAAATATTCACTAAAATCGAAAATTAACCTACTGCTAAAACTAGCCTACATGAATTTGATTTTTGCCTCACTTGTGACAGTTCGTTTGATATGAAACTATCATTCTATGCGTTATTATTCTAAGAGTGTGTGTACATGTAAATTTGTAAATAAAGCAATTAATTTATTTTTAAAATTAGTCTTTAAATCATCCACCTCTAAGGGTGGCTGTTCACGCGTGAAGATTCATTTTTATAAATAGCGCCTAAACTTTAATTTAGGAGCAATTATTTTAATGGTTGATTTTGTTATTTCTCCAATTCAAGGCGTTTTTCTCTCAATATACTTTGAGTAGTGAGAACCGATTTTTATTATCTCCAGTGTCAAGTCCTGTATAGTGGCGAACTAGGGGATATTTCAATAAAACTTAGCAAATAGACGTAATTCCACGTACTTTTGAGGTCGGTTTCTTTAGTACTCTGTACTGAGATTATTACAATAAATACAGAATATTTTTGGAATATACGGAGACGTACACACATGTCAGTTGTTAGCGCTGTACTATTTCAGCTTTCTAATTTGTGATTTCAGCGTAAACAAGAGTTGATATTTAAAAGTGATATAAGGCCGATTTACCTTAAAAGTTAAAAGTTGCGTTATTTCGCCTCTATTTCTGGTTACATACTCGATGACAGACATGCACTAGTCGGCAAACTGAACAATCTGGTTTTGTTTTCACAGTCAAAGGAAGGGATATTTAAAAAAAACATAATATGTTTTTAAAAATATACTGAAAAATATTGTTTATTCTTTGTTTTTTTCCTCGAAAGCTTCGGCAGCCTCTGTCAGAGCCTCCATCATTTTTGAGGTGTCAGACACTATTTGTGTCACATCTTCAACGAGCTGCAGAAATAAGCATTATTTAGTTACCTCAATGAATTTTGCCAGTATTTTAAATTATTGGAGGCATGTTTTAAAATAAAAATAAAATGTATTACTAATGTTAACCTGTAGTAAATTTAAACCAATACTTAAATTGATAAGACACTCTTAGGGCGCGTTAATATTACGTCGTGACAACAGATAGCCGTGCAGTTTAAACTGTCGAGACTTGTATATTTACACACATAGAACAACACGATTAACTGTCGTTCACGACTTTTTTGACGTTACGATGACAGACAGTCGTGACTATGGGATCAGCTAGAACGACAGTCGTCAGACGACAAATAAAACATCAAATAATTCTATAGTGCAAACGACAAAGCGGCTGCCGTGATCCGATAAATTCTGCCGTCCACTAACTAAAACGGGGCTGACAAATGGACAAATAACGTTTTAAATAGCAATGAATAGAGAACAAAACTCTCTTTTAAAAACAGTTAAAATTAGTTAACTTGTTCGTCTTATCGGAACTTACCTTAACGATGCATAGCTGAAATGTCATTAAACAAATTCAATTTTCTAAAACTATCTTATGGTTTAAAAATCTTCGGCCTAGCTGGGGCCATGGGTAAAACTCGCTCCTCGAAGTCTTCCATGAAAATATCGGCAACAACGGGAGAGTTTTACCCATGGCCCCAGCTAGGCCGAAGATTTTTAAACGGTACGTTGATGATAATGTATCTTATGGTTATTTAAGATATCTCAAAAAATATCTTGTTTCGTAGCCGCATTTTAGTTAGTGGACGGCAGAATTTTTTTTTTGTTTTTTTTTTATAACGCACACACTCAACATAGCCCCGCACTTGGGAAAACCCTGTGTCGCGGATACCATGGACACACATATAGACAACCACACATTACACCCAAACCCACGAGAGAAACAAATGTAGGCCATACAAATATTTCTCCCGGCCCGGGAATCGAATCTGGGACCTCTGCGTGGCAGTCCGGCATGGCAACCATTCAGCCTCCGAGGCAGTTAAATTAAATTAAGAAAAATTTAAAAAAAGAATTGTCGTCACGACTGTCGTTCGACGTTAAAATAAACGTCCACAACAGACACGACAGGATATAGTCGTGATATAGGAACAGGCTAGACGCGACAGTCGTCCAACGATAAATAAAACGTTAAGTGGGTGATAGACGCACGAGTAAATATGCGTACTTGTGGCTCGACGACCTTTTTCACTCATGTGTCACCCTAAGTACGCGAACTTTAAAACATGTTTGACATCTTGCTCGTAGCCCGCCTCGGCTCGCATGTCCGTCAGCGTCGCGAGACACGAGCCGCCATTTTGTTTCAAACTTTTTTATGTACCCTTAACAACATACAATGTGTCTTACAATGATCCTTTGCTTCGTATGTGTAGGAACTACAATATGGTTAGCACTGAGGTAGACATATTCCACCAGTCGATGGAATCGTTTATAGTGTCTCTGAGGTCTCACAGCTAGGTCAAAAATAAAGTGTTGTAAATAAGATTTATTGGTTTTGTTTAAATATGTTTTTCTCTTCAAATATGATTTTTTCAAATTTCCATTTATAAAATATATATAGGATAGTTATAAATTGTTTGTTTCATTATTGTAATTATATTTTTCTTTTTAATGATTATATTTTTGTTTTTAAGTTTTTAAATGTTTAACAAACTAAAGTCAATTAAGTGTTGTGCACAATTGTTATTGGTTCCAAGCTAACAAGTGTTCTATATTTAAATTTGTATCAAGTTTCTTACATGGTTTGTGAACTGTTATAGTGTCTGAAATAAATAAATAAATAAATAAATAAATGAAATAGTTTCTCTCATGCAGGTATCTTGTTTAGCTATTATAGGTGTAACTAACTGCAAGAGTTCGTCGTACAACGACTCGGGCAATCTTAAATAATTACGAAAGTCTTCCTTTTCTTCACGCAATTCTCTTACTAAATTTACATGTGATAAACGCTCTCTTTTCGTAAGCCAGTTCTTCACCCACACTAGCCAATTTTGTCTTCTTTTTTTAGTTTTCAAAATGTGATATGATATTATTCCCAAATAACACAAGACCTCCTCCGTGGACGTCATCGCGTAACATTATACGCTAATCTGTCGTGTGTCGCCGACCTCGAGCTGAGTAAGAACGACCGCGGCTTTTAACCTCGTACGTCTATCACCCACTTTACGACATGTAATGGAAACGCGCCCTTAACGTTTTCCGAGTGTTGTGAACCTGCTTTGATGAGCAGGCTTCATCACAATGTTTTTCTGTAACGAAAAACTGGTAAATTTCAAATTCAATTTCGTACATCAATTTCGAAAAGCTCACAAGGTTTCGAACGAGTGGTTTCTGCTCGCGAGTCGGTAGATCTAACCATTAAGCTACCACGGCTTCTAATGAAACTATATATATCGCTCGCTGCCTACCGCTGGCTCAGACAAGAATTTCATTTACATTACAATCCTTGTCTAACGTGAGCATTCGATTCCGCACAACTGCACACGGCGGGCAACGTAATTTTCACCTCTGCGCGCGTGCTTAGTTACGGAAGTTTTCGTCAAGATGGCTACTACACTAGGCGTTCATTTAGTACGCTATTATAGCGTAGGTATTTTCTATTTTATATGAGTTACATAGTAACTATTAAGGAATAAGTGAGCACGGCTTCTACCGAATATAAATTACGTATATAGGAAATGAAACTGTTTTTCCGGATTTAAATCGCGTATAATTGTTTTTTCAAACAAACCGACGTTTCGGGCCCTTTACAGGTCCCATGGTCACGGTTGACTGAGCCACACACGGGTGACCGTTTCATTTCCTATGTGTAACAATCGCGAAAACCTAAGAACTCGATAAATTACGTATGTCAAGTCATTAAAAACATATTAAATTAAATAAATTAATTTATTGAACGTTTTCATTTCTACCGTTATTCAAGTTAGTTAAAATGGTGAATTATCGATGTCGTCGCCTTACTTTCTTAAGCTCGTGTCTTATAAAGAGTAATTATTCATGAGATGGCAATACTTTCTAATAAATTTGGAAGCATTACTTTAAAAATAGGTAACAGCCAGTGTGTGAATATGAAGGAAATAACGTGTATGAAATCATCCTGCAAAATCCATGTTTTGCATTTCCGTAACTTTGTGTTTTAATATACGAATTTGAGAAAGCAAGACGGCGATTACCTTCTGAGTATCAGTAGACACCCTTTCCATAATCGTCTGAAATTCTTCTAGTTCAACTTGCACTCCCTTCTCTGTTGAAGGAAACATCATTCGCACTCTGCGTTCAGTTAATAGAGTTTCATCTATTATTTTCGCTGAGGACAAGAATTATACAAACAAGTTGCTTGAAAGAAATTTTACAGGTTTATTTTTACAGGTTTTGTTTACCACGGTCCAAATTATTTTTGTTTTTCGTATATTTCGGAAATGTTACAAGTTGGACAGCGGCAGATGACAGCTCTAAGAGCAAGTATATCTTCTAAAGCGAAAACTGTCAATAGTGATATCATTTCTTTTCTTTCTTTCATTGCATCTGCTACGGACTTGTTCACCCTGCCACTAGAAATCATAAAAATAAACCATGGAACCTACCTTCTTGCATCCATTTTATTAAATTATCAACAGTAGTAAGTCCCGACTTCCTCATTTTCATATAAACTTTTGAAAAATTATTTTCCTCCATAATGATCGCTTCTTTGATGCTTGTACTAACAATGTTCCCAAATTTTGGTAGCAAAATACGAAGAATGGTTATTAAAATGTCAGTTTTATTAGACATTTACTTTTGTATTATATGAATCCTGGAATATACGATACAATCTGAAATTGACAAGTAAGTATAGTCAAGTGGGGTAAGAGAAACAAAGGAAAAGAGGCGCGCCGGCCGCAGCAGCGATCGATCGCAGATTCCCTACAAAATTGTCGCAATTTTGGGATCCCGTGATTAACATAATGAAAGTCGATAATGTAACTTAAAAAATAAATGAAATTGAGGGATATCACTTAGTGAATTTGAATATTGTAAACATCACATTTTTATTATTATAATTAAATATTATTATATTTCTTATTACTGTAGTGATATATTTTTATTAATAAATAAATATTTACCTTATACTTTATAATTACCTTAGCATAATATACTAGATTTGAAATAATAATAACTATAAATTTATACAATTTTTTAGTTTTATAATTTCAAAAATATAAAATGCATAAATTTCCTTTTGACATGCACAAAAAATACCACATTAATCTAATGTTTACAGTAAGTTAAATGTACATTTTTATGTTATTAACCTCAAAAATTACAAAAAATTGAAATGTTTTTATTACAGCTTTTTCTCAAAATGCTTTTATGATATTACAGTGTATTGGACTGACACGGTAGTTAATCAGAAATACGATAACTATGCCTCTTACCCAATCCTTTGGGGGAAGAGAATCGTTAGTACAATTCGTTCTTCCTAATGCTCAAAACATTTGACTATATTTGAAGATCTGATGTTGAACCATCGATGGTTGAACCAGAATAAATGAAATCAACTGAATTTGAGATATTATGGCGAATTTTGTATAGTAAGTATATTTAAATACAATATTTTTTGGAATTGCCTTTCGAAGTTTATTTTTTTGCTTATTAATTAAATTGTTCTTTATTCTATGTTTGCAATTTGACAGAATCTTACGAACGTGACACTGTTTGAAACATATAGTCACGTAGTAAATAAAAAGAAGAAGATTTTATCATCTTATATCTCTTTGAATTGTGATTTTTCTTTTTATTGCTGCTGGACACCTAGCGGTTAAATGCTGAACGACGACGAATTGGAGTTATTAATTTAGTTCTCCAAAAAGAAACGACCATATTCTGCAATATAAGGTATAAGGTTTACTTTCATTTCTTGTGACAAAACCATTATTTCGATAAACAGAAAATTTAAAATTTATTAAAATAACTGCGATGCTAAAAAATTACCACCACGGGTAACATTTTTGGTGCGTTTATAATTTTTGCACTCCAAAACAGCACAATAAGGAAAATTCGATAGTTTGAAGGAAAAGAAAGGAAAGAGTGGCTGCAACAAGAAACGGTATTAACCATTGACTTACAAATAAATGGACGACGGGTCTAATACAAAAACCACGAAAAAAATGTCCCAAGTCAACCTAGTTAAACGTAGTGACATGTAAAGGAATATGAAAAAGCTAAAACGTTGAATTTAAATTGTAATGTCATCGCCGTACTGTCTAATTTTGCTTGCTTCGCTGTCAGTCGAACAAACGAAGACTAGAGCGTGAATGACGCTCTGTATACGATTTTAACGCCCTATAAGTTCGGACACTTTTTAGCGCGGACCCGACGTCCATATAATTGTAAGTATTAACACTAAAATTGACACATGATTTAGATTGAGAACTGGTAACAGGGAGTAACGACGGAACGAGACAAAAAGGGAATGGCGAGGCTAAGGAATTAGAGATTCAAAATTTGAAAACAAACGGCCATTCAGAGCCTTACGATAACTCAGTTGACGACCGATTCGATTTGATATTGTACGATTTCTTTTCATTTTTATTCACAACACCCGAATCGAACGTCAAACTGTTATATTTGAAACCGAACCGGAATGACGTCACACTCGATTACTCAAATTTCTCGATCGGCAACGACCAAACGTTAATCAGAACACAGTTATCGAATGAAAGTTACTAAACGTCCTATTTGTTTACAAAGCAAGTATATAATGTGGAAATCGTTTATTATTCAAATAAAGTCTGAATTTTATTCAATTTTATTAATTTATTTTAATGCAAAACAAGCATTTTCATATTTTAAGCCTTTAAAATCTTAAAAATGTATACATAAGGATTTCCATTTTTCTTATAATCTATTTCATCGACTAACTTCGTAAACGCTGTTGGATAACGGTATCGTATCCGAATCAGGTTGCAAGAACCAGAGAAAAGGTGATAAAAAGGCGGGATGACGATGTAAGAAGGACACATCGTCACAACTTGTTCAACATTATTAACAACATTAATATTATTTTTTGTGAAATTGTGAATATCAATTCAATAAAAATTTAATTTATACGGTGAATAGCGACATCTCTCGCCAGGACTGGTAGCTGTAAAGGTACTAACTGGGTGATAAATCTGTTAAAGATTTCTCATAGATGGCGCTACGACCAAAAGTCGTTGAAAGACCAAGTACAAAGACACGACGCAAGCACATTGAAATATTCGTGAGGTCCGTTGGTTCGTTCCGTGGCTTAGTTGGTATAGCGTCTGCCACGGTATGCACGAAGACGTCGGTTCGAATCCGACCGGATCGAAGGAATTTTTTCTGAGTGTTTTTTCTGAGTGTTCGATCTTTGTATTAATAATTATAACATTAATATTATGTTATTGTATTTCCACATTATAAATAAAGTCATTATTAAACTCACACAGAGAACAAGCAAATAGATTAATTCTCCCATCAATAACGTTCAAAGTCCTCATCGCTTGTGTCAGTGCTGTCCAGCAGGTTGGTTCTCCCATCGCCAACAACTGAGGCCAACGCCGCACATACCCATCGGGAACGCTTAAGACCAACACGTCTCAAAACCCCTGCTTTGCATGTCTTTAAAAGTTTAAACATACAAAACCAATACAAATTTGTAAAACACATTCAAACTCTAACGGTGACAAATTAGGGGCTAAATCTGGTTAATAAATTTTACCCATTTTCCGTTACCCAATTTCGATAAAACTTGGCAAATAGATGTGATTCCAATGAAAATAAAATTGTTATGACCTAAAGCTGATCTGGTAATGGAAATGGCAGACAGATGACAGGAACTCCTCAACGGCTGTGTCGATGTGACCTCCTTACATCGTCACCCCACCTTTTTATCACCTTTTCTTAGGTACCTGGCCACTTGTTTTCAAAATTGAAATTCCGTTTCAGCTGTAATTCTTAATTGCATCTAATTTTGAACCTTTTACCAGTTTTAATGTTAATACCACTCTGTAATTCTGTATAACTCGGCCTCTTCGGGGTAAGTGTCTACTTTATATTCATCCATAAGTATGTGCGTATGTAATTAATTTAGGAAGTGTTTTATATACCTTACGTACCTTTTCTTGTTACAGCCTTTCTTTCCTTTTTTTTTTCCTTCAAACTATCAAATAAGCTTTTGTCTACTGAAGTATCCTATTTCATTGCCGTGATCCTGGTCCCGACACATTAGGGGCTTACAACCTTTTCTTTTGAGGATAGTTTACATTTACCACTAAGGTATCTGAGACATACTGCTAGTTTACTAGCTTTTAATATTAAGGATGCTGTTATAGAAGATATAACACAGTCCCGTGGCAATGCTCCTACTCTAAGTAGCAACAGTTTACTTATTATTAACAAAAACTAGAAACTAGAAAACACGACAGCAGAAAAGTCTAATCTTTTTCATGTAGTTCATCAAAACATTCAAGGCTTTCCTGGCAAAACATTAGATATAAGTCTTTTTTAAACGATATTTCCGTTGAAAGAATACGAAGCAATTAACAACGTGGAAAATTATGTAATAGTTAGCTCGTGCATAAGAAAGAACTTAAGTAAAGGCGGATCAATGATTATTGTTAAACGTAATGTAAAATTTAAAGAGCGTAAGGATATCACAGATCTCTCTATTGGACGGACTATTGGGATTTCCTGTGTAGAATTGGATAAGTTTGTCATCTTATGTGTATACAGGCCGTAATTATTCATGGAAGATAGTTTTAAAACAGATTTTACCAACTAAAAAAAAACCATATTAGTCTGTGGAAATTTTAATATAAACCTGTTGGAAAACTGTTCTACTTCTTTAGGACTCATTAATTTGTTTAAAAGTTTTAACTTGATCAATCCTTTCTTGGAACCAACTCGCATCACTGCTTCATCGTCTACTTGTATTGATAACATTTCTTGCAACACAAACGCGGTATCTAAATCAATAATAAATTGCTTAACATTACACCATAGTGGCCAATTGGCTACGTTTAATTGTAAAATGAGCAAGAAGGTAGACCAATTTCTCTGCAGACCGATTACCAAAGAACGAATCATTAGATTTCAAAAGAATATCGACAATAGTTTAAATTCCCTCCCCCGTATACCGGTGGTTCCAAATATTTTGTATAGCACGATATTTAATTAAAAATGAATTTGATAAGATATTTACATCGAAAACACTAACTTTCCACAGGGAGACTAAATTCAATGACTGGGCAACAGTAGGCATTCATAAACGTAGGTCTCGTTTGTATGAGCTATATGCTATGAAAACTTATAATACTAATTCCAGTTTCATAGAATATGTTAAAAATTATTCAAAAATATTTCAAAAAGTATGTGTAGCCGCTAAGGTTAAGTTTGACAGCGATAAAATTGTACAATAGAAAAATAAATCTAAACCAACTTGGAGTATAATAAATAAAGAGTCAGGCAAGGTTTAAACTACATGATAGATTAGACGGCAAATTTATTAAATCAAAAGATGAGGTAGCCTTTCAATCATTCTTTTCGGGAATCGCCGTGAACACTACAAAATCATTAAATTCGTCTCCATCTCTTGCTATTGATCTCCTAAACAAAAATGTTAAAGTTTGTGGCAGTGTATTTAATTTTCATCATGTTAATTTAAAAGACATCATTAAAGCTTTTAAATGTATACATGTTAAAAAAACTGAAGATCTCTGGGGCATATCGACTAAACTTATAGACTCAGTAATTTATCTAATTTCCCCACATTTAGCTGATGCATTCAATAGGTGTGTTGACGAAGGTATTTTTCCCGATTTGATCAAATACAGTAAGGTTATTCCTTTATTCAACAGCGGTAGGAAAGTTGATACTAGTAACTATAGGCCCATTTAAATTCTACCAGCTTTAAGTAAAGTATTCGAAAAGGTTATGTTCACTCAACTAAGTATACTGTCGTATTTCGGTAGAAATCATATTTTTCATAGTGAACAATACGGGTTTACTACTGGTAGATCGACTAGCGATGCGGGGGTAGTACTACTGAAATATATCTTTAAAGGTTCTAAAGCGCTATTGGAGTTTTCTGTGATCTCTCAAAGGCATTTGAGTGCGTGGATCATATTACTTTTATTAGGAAGCTGAAATATTACGTAATAAGTGGCAAGGCATTGGAACTTGTTTCGTCATATCTTACCGATAGAATTGTGAAAGTAGGCATAAATGGAGTGAATTCTTTGGGTTCTCCGGTGAAAATGGGTATTCCACAGGGTTCAATACTTGGACCTTCCTAAGTTTAAAAGTTACATTAAAAGTATTTTAATTGAAAAGTGATATTACAAAATAGTAGACTATGTGTTAGATAAAGATGTATGAAAAGACAACGTAAATCTAGATTCCACACAAATATGATTCAAAATGTATTCTATAGCATTTAAGTTTATTTGAAAAGAGCAATCCCTTGAGTTTCTTGCTTGTTCTTCTCAGGGAGGTAAGCGTAGTGAACGAACAGTAGCTTAAAAAATATCGTTTTCAAGTGTAAAAATTTTACCTATGGAATAAATGATTATTTGACTTTTCACAGCAGCTACTTTGTGTTACCTTGGGCACATAGGATTCGTTTTGACGAAGACTTCCTATGCGTTTTATTTATCGTTGAGGTGGTTGTTTATTATAAAATAGTTTATTACTAACAATTTTATTACAATATCGAGTTCTTAGGTTTTCGCGATTGTTACACATAGGAATTGAAACTATTTTTCACAACCGTGTCAACCGTGACCATGGGACCTGTAAAGGGCCCGAAACGTCGGTTTGTTTGAAAAAACAAATATACGCGATTAAAATCCGGAAAAATAGTTTCATTTCCTATAATTTTATTACAAAACTTTTATTCTCAGTATTCTGCCTTAGTAAACTAAAAAGTTTTATCCTATAGTAGCAGCAGAGCTTCTTGCGGAAGATTTCGTCCAGGCAAGTAGGTACTACCACCTTATCTATTTCTGCCGCCAAGCAGTAATGTCAGCATTACTTTCTTTTTATGTAAAATATAAGACGCATTTGACCTCCATCTCAGCCTATTCACTTTCGCCTTGAAAAGGCCCAAGTTATAACGTTCAGGAAACAAGTGTGCCGACAGAAAAATAGAAGGCGGAATTAATTATTATGCTCCAATTTTTAAGGATAACGGTGCTGGTGAAATTGCAGGCACATGGGACTTGTCAACTTATGTCTCAGACTGACGGGCGCAGAACAGTGCGCCACAGATTTTCACGATTTAAAGAGCCGGAGTGGTGCTGCAGCTGTTATGGACAGGCGTGTAGCTTGCCATCAGGCGTACGACTTGTTCGTTCCGTCCCTTGATATTATAAAAAAAATAGCATAACGGTTGAACCATCGAAGTTGTCAATTTTCAAGACCATCGTGATTTATAATTTTTGGACGGACGTATGTAATTAATATATATAATTTGTAGACATTTTTATTAATATTTTGATATTTTTTAACAAAATGGATGACACCATGAAAAAGATGGAAGATGCTTTCAAGGCTCTCAAAGCAAGTGGTCAAAATACAGCAACTGGTATAACCGATTGGCTGAAAAGAGGTAAGGATTAGTAAAAATTACATGCGCATCTTGGACATTTCAATGCAAATTCTAAAACACCTTTATTTCAAAGGTAAGAAAATTACAACCGAAATCGGCGCATTAATTAAATTCTACTGTTTATTCGTAGTCATGGACCAATGACTCAAGAGAATTGCTAATAGCGATACGAGACAGCGTAGTTAAGTATTTAGTACCTATTAGCACAACAGATGTCGCGACTAGTACTAAATACAGCTAGTTTTGTAACTTTGTTTTACATTACCAAAACTATTCTAATTTTTAGTGATTTTATTTATTTATTTATTACATTTAAAGCACTAAGAAACAAAACATTCCAGTGTAACATAAACTTAAGTAAGTTTTCCGTATACCGCTCATTCGTCGTACAAATAAATATATTTCTATGTGTACCTACTGTGTAGTGTAGCGTTCGTACTTCTGCGTGTTGACATTCCTCATATTGTGCGTGTGAGTTAGGGGTGTCACTAAACCTTGATCTTCGTATGTACATCCCACCGCTGAACACGAGTCTATTCTAATAAATGATCGTGAACAGGACTTTAATATTAAATTTAAAGTTAGTGCCTACGTATGTTGTCAGTTGAAATTAGATAGTTATAATAACGATTTATTTCATATTCGTATTAAATTTACGTTTTCTTTTGTTTTTCTTTTTAAATTTCGTTTATTAGATAAAGCTTAGAATAATAACGCATAGAATGATAGTTTCTTATCAAACGAACTGTCACAAGTGAGGCGAAAACCAAATTCATGTAGGCGTAAGCAACTTGTATCTACGCTCGCCGGCACGCACACAAATATACAAATAATGATGCCATTGAATAACATTTCCCTTAAAAGTGGGAAAATTGTATCTTGTTTAGCTCATCATTAAGTTAAAGGTGCCTACAGATTTGCCCGATTTTGTCGATCGACAATGTCGATCAGGTACCTACAGATATGCTCGGTTTTGTCGATCGTTACTGTCGATCGACAATGTCAAGTGACAAGAATTTTCAAAAATTTAATTTTGGTAATCCTTATGGAAATGAAATGAAATGAAATGAAATGAAATAAGTTTTATTTGCATTGAATAGGTTTTTTACAGGATGGTAGTTGTTACATTTGAGTAGGTACTGCTATTCAGCCATTATACAAAAGCATGCAAAATTTAGTCTTTTAGGTAGTCATTTACACTATAATAACCTTTTTTAATTAAATATTTATACAATTCAGATGTCATTCTTTTATATGTCAAGTTTTTTATTTCTATTGGCAACTTATTATAAATTCTCATGCACATATAATATGAACTTTTTAAGTACAGTGTAGTCTTAGGTATATTTTCAACGACAAGTCTATTTGGGTGTCTTTTCGCGCGTGGATTAACATCTATCGATTTTTTAAACAGTTGTGAATGCTCTTTAACAAATTTGCAAACTTCATATATATACATGGAAGGTAAGGTCAAAATATTTAAATCCTTAAACAGCGGCTTGCAAGATTCCCGTGGGCCAATGCCGCACATTGCTCGAATACACTTTTTTTGAGTTACAAAAGCTCGCTCTACATATGTTCCATTACCCCATATAATCAATCCGTAACGTAGTACCGACGCAATGTAGCCGTGATAGGCAAACAAGCATATTCTTTTAGAGGCAACTCGTCTCAATCCACGAAGGACGTACACAAATCTGTTTATTTTGCTGCAGATGCTGTCAATATGATTGGTAAAGCTCAGTTTTTTATCTATTAGAATACCCAAAAATTTTACTGTCTCTAAACTTTGTATGATCTTTCCATCATATTTTATAGTAATATTCATTGGTGTACGTCTCTTAACAGCAAATTGGACATATTTAGTTTTATCCAAATTCACATGTAGATTGTTTCTATTTAACCAAACTATTACAGATTTCATTGTGTCATTAATTTCGGCTTCATAATGATTGACGTCGTTATTATTTGAGTTGATGACTATTGCAATGTCATCTGCAAACATGACAATTTTGTGCTGAGTTATCAGGGGCAGGTCATTAATGTACAACAAAAATAGTAATGGGCCAAGTATGCTTCCCTGAGGAACACCAAACTTATTGAAATCATTAGTCGAACAGCATGTGGTAATATTTTTATTTTGATCCAGGTAGCTTAACTCCACCCGTTGCTGTCTGCTATATAGGTACGACTTAAACCAACTCAGTGCTATGCCCCTAATACCATATTTTTCTAATTTGGTCAGCAGTCTCTCATGTGCTACAAAATCGAAAGCTTGAGACATGTCTAGGAACAATACTGTGCTGTGTTTTTGTGTATCAAGAGCTTTGGTCACCATTCCGGCAATATTGAAAACCGCCTCAGCTGTTGATTTTCCCTTTTGAAAGCCGAATTGTTCCGGTCTTATAAGGTTGAATTTTGTGCAATAGTCTATCAATCTAATGTACATGCATTTTTCAAAAACTTTGGCTAATGTCGGGATGAGAGTAATTGGCCGGTAGTTGGATAGTTCCGACTTGTCCCCCTTCTTAAAGATTGGCTTCACTATTGATACCTTTAATACATCAGGAAACATGCCCCTTTCAAAGGATAGATTTATTAAGTATGTTAAGACTGGTGCCAATTCATTCCCGCATTGTTTTAAAATTTTTGTCGAGATTTCATCATAGCCACAGGCATTTGTATTGTTCAAAGATTGTATTATTTTAATAATGTCATAGGTTACGAACGGTTTTATGTAGAACGAATTTAATGTCATTTGTACCTCTGTTAAATTGTCATACTTATGTTTGTCAAATATAATGTTATTATCATTGGTCAAATTTATGAAATGTCGATTAAAAGCTAAAGCCATTTGTAATGGCTCTATCACTCTTGTGTTTTGTATATTTAACTCAGTTATATCCGTAATGGGTGGTTTTTGTACGTTATGGCCCTTTATAACTGCCCACGAGGCCTTACATACATTCTTGTTATGTTTAATAAAATTAGTATTATGTTTCTTTTGGGCATTCAAAATACATCTTTTTAAAATTTTTGAGTAATTTCTATATTTTACTTTATCTGTTTTGTTTTTGCTTTTGTAATACTTAAAACGTAATTCTCTTTTAATTTTACAACACTTTCTTAGCGCTTTAGATACCCATTTAGGACCACTAGTTTTTGTATTAACCTTATAACGGCGTTTGGGATAACAGAGATTATATAATAAAACGAAAATTTCATGGAAATTTCTAAACGCTACATTAATATCTGTTTCATTGAAAACATCATTAAAATTTAATGCTTTAAGGTTCGTTTGAAATTTTTTATTATTCTCCTCTGTTAGTTCTCTTTTTGTGATGTACCAAAAAGTTGTTTCTTTTGGTTTATTTCGGGGGGAAAAACTTAACACTTGGGCGGTATTGTGATCAGAGAGATAAAGGGGTAAGACGCTTCCAATACCTTCCTTTATATTGCTAATAATAAGATCTAAGCATGAGAGTTGTCTAGTCGGTTGGTCTATATGTTGTATTAGGTTGTAATTTGACATTAAATCTTTAAAATAGCGGCTGTCCACAGTATTTTCTAGAATGTTTATGTTAAAATCGCCAGTGATTATAATTTTTTTCTTTCTATGTAAGTTCGTGGCGTCGTGCAATACTGAATCCAATATTCTTAAGAAATGTGTACCAAATCTCTTACTCGAGTTATAAATGCACAAAATAATTAAATTATACGCCGGCAATTCAATACCAGAGCACTCAAATACTCTCGGCACCAAATATCTACGGAAGAAACTAAGTTCCCTAGACACAATACCACTTTTTAACAAAATACATGTACCGCCTCTTTTGTTCTCTCTACAATAACTAGACACCAAATCATAATTAAATAACTTTACATTTTTTTCCTCACCTTTTTTTATAAATGTTTCACTTAGGCAAATAGCATCAGGATGGGAGTTAAATTCAGAAATTGTGATTTCCAGCAGGTCTCTTTTATCAAAAAAGCTGGCTATGTTTTGGTGCAGCAGAATGAATTGACTACTGTGAGACACGAAAAAAATCAGAATCACCCGTCCCCAAACAGTCGCTACCTATATTTATATTTGAATCTGCCGCTTGACCATTCAAATTATCTAACAAAACGTCATTTATCAATAGACTTAAATCGTTGAAAATTTGACGGAGTCCTCTATTATTTAAAATACCCTTAAAAATAGTAAACATGTCACTGTCGTAGGTAAGATTTTTGTTCGAGTCGATAATATAAGCATATTCGTGTGTCAGGTTGTCAAGATAGAGTAGATTATTGAATGTGTCAATACGTGTGTTAAATAATAGATTTGCGTACAATCCGTGTCTAAATGTTGGTAAACATATGAATACATTAGTATGTTGAATTTTTAACAATTCTGTCCTAAGAATCTTAACTAAATTTCGATAGTCCATACTGATTTCAAAATCTTTTTCTCCTATCATTATAACACACGAGTCGTGCAATGTAAAATTTTGAACTTTTTTTTCTAAATTGACTAGGAGTTGTTGCAGTCCTGCATTTGGTGTCAAAAAGTGGCAGAGTTTTGTTTCATTAAAAGTTGATCTGGCCGTCGTTACAACTCTATTGTTTTTATTGCTGCTTATAATACACAAATTATTTGAGTGATGTGTGTCACTTTGTTCTACGTTACGAAAACGCCTTTCACGAGCTTTTTGTAGTTTTTTTGCTTTATACTTTGAAGTTAACGTTGGTGTCGCAATGATTGGTGTATCACTCGTCTCTCCTTTTCTGTTGTCCAATTTACTATTTATTTTGTTAGTTGGAATTGGTGTCGTGTAGGGTTTTCCACTACTCAAGCTTAAATTCGGTCGTTTCGTAGTTTGTGTAGGAGAGCTACATATCTGTGTAAGGGTCTTTATTTTACTCTCATATGTTTTGTTGAGTTTGACCAACGAGCTATTTTCAGCCAAGAGATTTACGATTTCGTTGTCTGCTGATTCTAGTTTTTGTTGTAATTGCAGTATTGTATTTTCCAGCTCTTCAATGACTTCCCGACTACATTCGCTGATTTCAGGACAGCTTCTGTTCATTACCTGGGAGGTAATGATTGATGAAAAATCATCTTCAATCTCGCTTTCTTCAATGGGTTCCTTACAAGTGTCACACTTCCACGCTTTTTTTCTGTTCGGTGTCATTAGGTCGAACCTTTTGTCTGTTACAGTCCTAATGCAATTTGGTACGTGAAATACATTCTCGCATTCACAGCATTTAATGTATCGTCGTGTAGTTATCTCGTTCCCACATTTAAAACACTGTGACGCCATTGCTTTTTTCGTCGAGTATGTAATATAGGTCAAATTTCTATTGTGTCTCCCTCTATCGTCAAATGGCAGAACTATACGATAACTCTAAAATACATCGATATCCCAACGCCCCCAGCGGCAAGTGGCAGAACTTCAGATTTCAAAATATGTCACCAGAGGTCACCACAATTCATACATTTACACCGCCATCTAGTTCATAGTAAACACAATATTGGAATTATAATTTACCTATTCCCCGGTAGATGGTGGTAGAAGTGAGACCGCAAGATATTTTTTTCTTGGAAATGTGTATAAGGTCCAAAGTCCAATTAGTTGTCAGTTTAACGATAATACGTTATGTTCATGAAATTTAAATTTGAACAACACTTCGTATTAGCCACTAGTAAAAGTTCACACTATTTTGTTTACAAATAACTTTGTGTTCATGATATACAACTAATATTGTTTTTTTCCCACTACAATTGTTCAAAAACAAAGACAAGATTCACTGTAGATAAAAGTAGTTGTTGATGAATAGTTAACCACTGAAACTTTCCACAAACACTTCCACAATATATTTGAGCCACTTTGATCTTATCTGCAATGTTCAAGGCGCTTAAATCAAACTTTTTCTATTTTTAAACAAAATTCAAATGTAGACACTATGTTAGTACTAGCTGCGCCCTCTAGCGTGTGTGTGGAAATGGCATTTATATCTGAATACACGATGACGGACACGACTTTTCAAATAAATGCAATATGGGAGTCATTTTCGAGATATTCGAGGCGCTCATTACGAATATGGCACTCATTTCTAAATTCAAGATGGCGGGCACGATGTCTCGCATTTTAATTGCAAGTTGGGTATCGTTTTCAAGGTATTTGGGGATGCTCATTACAAATATAGCATTTATTTCTAAATCCAAGATGGCGGACACGAGTTTTCAAAAAAATGTTATTATGGGTGTCATTGTCGATGTATTTGGGGATGCTCAATGTGAATATGGCACTATTTGTAAATCCAAGATAGCGGGCACGATTTTTCAAATAATGGCAAGTTGGGTATCCTTTTCGAGGTATTTGGGGGTGCTCATTACGAATATTGCTTTTGTTTGAACTGTCGTGTCTGCCATCTTGGAAATAGAAATGAGTGCCATATTCGTATTGAACGTCCCTAAATATCTCGAAAAGGATACCCATATAGCATTTTTTGAAAAATCGTGTCCGCCATCTTGGATTTACAAATAAGTGCTATATTCGTATTGAGCACCCCCAAATATCTCGAAAATGATACCCATATTGCATTTTTTTTTAAATTGTGTCCACCATCTTGGATTTAGAAATAAGTACTATATTCGTAATGAGCACCCCCATATACCCCGCAAACGATACCCAGAATCAAAATCAAAATAATCTTTATTTCATAGGTAAGCATTGTTACACTAGAAATCGTCACATTGGTTAAAGTCTACCGCTCAAGGTAAGGCAGATTCCCCCGAGAAGTATGAGCAAGAAACTCTGGGGGTTGCTCTTTGTAAACAACATTTGTACGCATTTAACTTGCAGAAATGGAGGTCAAATGCACACTTACATTAGAATAAAAAAAAATTTGCAGCCGTCGCGATATTGCCTATTCTCAAAAAATTACGTAATATAAATTATTTCGAAACTGAATAGCAAAATTGGGAGAAAGAAATCCGTTACTTTGCAACATTTTCGTGTCTTGTTGCAACGAAATTATTTTTAGGTTTTAGTGAATATTTATATAAAAATACAAGTTGAAACGCGTTACTTCCTTGTGGAATGTGATGTTAATATCTATTTTATGTTTGTCTGACATATTTTTACACTCATTTACCGCACATTTCGTCATTTTTAGCTAAAATTCTGGAGCTGTTCGCGGTGCAATTTGACCTTGAGCACTGACAGCCCACCCGCTCGTGTAGGCCCTTTGGGAAGCCTCTAACTTGCCTCACTTAGCGTGTGTGGACTAGGTTTCTATGCGTTATTATTCTAAGAAATAAGGTATATATTTTAATTTATTTTTACCATAAAGATTTCGATAAGACGGTATCCACAATTTATTATTATAGACATTTCGCGTCTTCGTTTCACCACTGTAGGTAGATTCTAAACTTTTATCAAAAAGTGTACATACGGCTGGTAGCATACATTTTAATTTTTCATGTATAGGGAGTATTTTGCAGTGGTGGAACAAACCGCGCTAATCGTCTTTGTTCTTTAATAACAAACAAAACAACTAGATGGCCCTTATTGCAAAGATTTTTATGGATAGCGCGGACATTTTTTTTATTTTGTTTAAGATTAACGTCATCTACCGACATTAGGATGCGTTAATTTACAAATTATAGTTTGTAACACACACTGACATGCATTCAGAAAATAAGTTTACCTCATGATCAGTATTACGTGGAAAAAACTGACTTATAAGTTTTTTATAAATTATATTTTTATAGAAATTTCTTACAAAAAAGAAAAAACTACTTTGTAAGTTGAAAAATCCCACGTCATAGGACAGCTGACGCCAGGAAGGAAGAGTTCAAGTTACAGCAGCTACATCTCTTCCGATGTGACCACTATGTCACTAAAATACACGAAATCAGACTACTTTTTTTACCAAAGCACTGGCTGCTACAAATTAAAATTAATTTTTGACAAGAATCCCAGCATCCACCATGGTCTACTTCGCCCTATAGTTGGCCACGCCGAAGCATTGTACTCCGCGGCCATGCACGCATGCATGTAGCGAGGGCTGTCCTGTGTTACTAACATTGAAAAGGTTTTTATTATATGGACCATGACCCGTTAGAGCGGCAATAGGAGCGCAAGAAATTTTATGACATCAAGTGTCGGGACGAACTAGTCTTGGGCCTGGTGGAGTAAGCGACAAGCCTGGCCATAACAGTTGTAGTGCCACTCTGAGCTTTAAATTTCAAAGAACTGAGTGGCACTGCCACAGCGCCCGTCACTCTGACACTTGTTGACAAGTTCCATGAGCACGTAACTTCACCCCCAAGCACCCTTACCCTTCATAACCGGAACGCAGTAATGCTCACATGACGGATTGGCGGCAGAAATAGGTAAGGTGTCAGTACTTTCAACTACAAACCATTATATGACTAAACTTGGCAACTTGGTCTAGTTCAGGCACCTAACGGTGTGCAACATTTTTGATAGTGATAAAAAATAAACCAAACAGTTGTTTCAGCGGCAATTATAACAGACGAGGAGACGGAACGAAAAGCCAAAGAACTCCTCGGAGAGGGTAAAGTTACGTACGAGAAATTCAATGCGGCAGTTAAGAAACTTGCTCAGGACAAAAAAGCCAAATTTGATGATTATTCCAAGAAATTGTTGGACTCAGGTAAGTACTATTTCCTCTGGTGGACAAAGGACCATCTTTTTTGTTTTGTATTCACAAGAAAATGCTTTAAGAGTCAACCATCTCATCTCGAATTTAAATTTTTTTCCCGTACTAATACGGTTCATTTTGCTTGGGTCCAGAGACTGGGACACCGGCTTTATTTCAGAATTTATTTTTTTACAAACGAAATTGAAGACATTTGAAAATTATTTTCCATTCAAAATTTATTAGCCATTCAAAAATAACTAAAAAAAAAACACGCGAGTGACTTGTACAGTCGCTGGATATTCATAGATAGATAGGTTTGCTATCAATGCATTTTTCATTATTGTAGTTAAAGAAGCAACAAGCTTTTGGGCACTTAGTGATAAATTAAACATCAAAATCAACACTCCTTGACTTAAGTAATGCCTTCAATGGTATTGACTTTGAAATTGGAGGTATTGCGTACTCTTAACATATCTCCAGCAGTTATTGATTGGTTTCGAAGCTACCTCTGTGGACGTCGGCAGTGTGTACGCAATGAGAATTCTTTCTCTACGTGGTGCGATATTTCCGCTGGAGTTCCGCAGGGTGGCGTCCTTTCTCCTCTCTTATTTTCTTTGTTTATTAACTCTATCACACAATCCCTCACTTCTTCTTATCATCTTTATGCTGATGACCTCCAGATTTACACCCAGTCGTCTATTCAAGATTTACCACGTGCCATTAATACTACCAATGTGGACCTTGAATCTATCCGTCAATGGAGTCAGACCTTTGGCCTTAAAGTTAACCCATCCAAAACACAATCGATTATTATAGGTAGCACTTGGTCCAATTCTCGTTTAAATCTAAACTCCTTACACCCTGTGGTTTTCGATGGTGTCTGTATTCCTTATTTGGATACAGTCAGGAATTTGGGGGTAATTTTTGATAAATGTCTGACTTGGAAGCCGCACGTTGATGAGGTTAGCAGGAAGGTGTTTGGTGCGCATTTCTCTCTGAGAAGGCTTAAAAAGTTTTTGCCGACTAAAACTAAAATTACTCTGGCCCAGAGCATTCTCCACCCGATACTGGATTATGCATATGTTTGCTACCCAGATTTGTCAGTAACTCTGCTCAATAAATTGGAACGGCTCCAAAATATGTATGTTAGGTTCATCTTCGGACTACGTAAATTTGACCATGTTTCCCAATTTCGCACACAACTTAAATTAAATTTAAAATTCTGCCCATTCATCGGCGTAGAGATCTTCATATACTTGCACTTCTCTATTCAATTCTGTTCTATCCAATTACGCCTTCTTATCTTAAAATTCGCTTTACTTTCCACTCTTCTACACTCTGTCGTCCCCTTCCCTCCTCTGATACTCTCTTACTAAACTTGCCCTCTCATACCTCTAACTTTTATTCCAACTCTTTTACCATTTCTGCTATCAGATTGTGGAATTCTCTCCCTGAATCGATTCGTTCAAACAACGTGGCAAGGATCACTTCCTCAACTCCTAAATTTCGTCTGTCCTCTGCTATCCTTTCATTTATTTCCTACATTTATACATCATTTTTCTTTTTCCTTTAAAAGTATATAAGCATTTAAAATTATTGTGTATGTATTGTTATGTATGTATTAATAATATTATTATTATTTGTATGTATATGTATATCTATCTACGGAGATGTATATATTTTTATTATTACTTATTATGTAGTGTACTTATGATGATATTCTTTTCTTGCACCCCTTTTTGCATATCCGAAATGTCTATCCTAAGGTTGCCTGGAAGAAATTGCTACATAGCAATAAGGCCGCCTGTTGCACATTGACTTACTACTACTATTATACTTAAGCTATTGTATTGTATTGTATTTGTAATTTTATGTGCAATAAAGAATATTTCATTCATTCATTCATCAAAATGTTGAGTGCTAGATAATTAAAAAAAAAAATCACAAACTAAGTGCACGACTGCGTTACAAATCTTCAATTTCGAATTTGTGAAAATTAAGTCATTTTTAAGCAAAAACCGCGTTGTATTTCACAATTTTCATAAAAATACAACATTTTGCTGATTCTTGTAACCATCATATCCATTGTGGCACCTTTGGTTCCTTGTGTACCAGTCCCCGGGTTCAATGGGTACCATGAGGTGTGAAGAAACATGTTTTCAGAAGGACTAACTGTATTTTGACAAAAATGAAGTACTACGTTATCATACCCAGTAAAATTATCTATAATTATAAACGAAAAGTATAATTTAGGTCCATAGATACATAGTTACAGCTCTAGAAAATTTAGGTGGTTCATTGTCAACCACACTGCCCTACCTCTTGACCTGACCTTTCTTTAGGACGTCCTCAATTTGTTCATGGTCAAATTCGTCTTGGTCGGCCTTACCAACATATATACTCTCGCCTTATAAATATAAAAATGTAAAATAAATATAAAAAATATAGGTACAACAACCCACTGATATCCTGTAATTGAGCACGTATAGTTTAACTGATTAGAATACGTAATTATTTACGATAGAACACAAACAAAAATTTCTTCGACCCGAGTTATGATATATCAGAAAATATATTTTTAAAAGGAATGTTTGAGGGTGTTTATTATCAGAAAGCTGTTACAAGACTACTTAATTATAAATAAAATGTAATTACAGTTCAGTAACTGCGCTTATTGCAATATTTCTAGGCTGCGCGTGTAACCTATACATACGACGAACTCAAAGCGAAATATATATAATATATAATCTTTATTACAATAAATCTCATTCGTAAGGCAGATTCCCCTGAGAAGAATGAGCAAGAAACTCTAGGGGTTGCTCTTTGTAAAAATATACATTTGAATACATTTATCATTACATTATTTAATATAAATCTTAGATCGAAAATACCTGAAAGAGATAAACGGGTCACTACCACGGATTTTTGTCATCCAAGTACGCAGGAGTTGTATAATATATATAAACTTTAGTATAAAATTTTAAACCTCGTAAATGGCAATTTTTGAATATCAATCGGAGTCTTATTATAGAAGCGTATACATTTCCCCTTAAATGAATTTGAGACTTAGTGAAGACGACTGTCAGAACAGCTAGTTTATTTTTATTCCTCGTATTAATGTTATGTCTGTCCATCGTCTGTCACTATTTTTCATAAAAAAAATAATATTTTTCTTAACATAAATAACATTTACATAAATGTACTGTGACTTTAGTGTAAGAATGTTAATCTCTTTAAACTTACCTCTCGACGTCAGCTATATCCAGGTCTAGTGGCTTGGTACCACCCGATGAGACTTTTTCTCTGTGTTCGATCACAAAGATCGAAATATAAATAATACAAAATTACTAGTCATAAGAAACTAGTGGAGTTATGTTACAAAAAAATCTCAATAATATACATTATTTAATAACAACAGTATCAACAGCGGCCAACGATGCGAAAGGAACCGTTGAACAAGAAGCCGAGTCGTTCAAGGACGCTGTTGCCAAATTCAAAGCGGATACTTGTAAGTTAATAAATTTAAACTAAAACAAAACTAAAAACAGAAATATGGGTGACATTCCCATGACCCTAGCTAATAATAGCAGCATCAGAGCCGGGTGCGGTTCGTAAGATATAATAATAAATGACATATTTTTGGTCAACATAACGTTCAACGGATATAATTAGTTAACCGTCTTCGAAAAAAAGAGGAGTAACATACGTATGTTTTTTTTTACTTTTTTTTTGTATGTATGTTACGCGATAACTCCATTTGTTAACCGATTTTGTTGATTCTTTTTTGTTTGAAAGAGGGTACATCCATAGTGGTCCCATTTAATTTTAAAGAAAGTCATCCCCATCTAAGGGTGACTTTCTTAAGGGTTCATGCATGAAGATTCATTTTTATAAATAGCGCCTAAATTTTGCTATAAGGAGCAATTATTTTAATAGTTGATTTTGCTATTCTCCAATTCAAGGCGTTTTTCTCTCTCATTATAATTATGTACTTTAAGCGGTGAGAACCGATTTTTATTATCTCCTGTGTCAAGTCCCGTATAGTGGCGAACTAGGGGATGAATCCGGGTTTTTGCGCACTTTCCGATAACCGATTTCAATAAAACTTGGCAAATAAATGTAATTCCACGAACTTTTGAGGTCGGTTTGTTTAGTACTCGTACTGAGTTTATTTATGGTATACAGACATTTGACATATTATTGTATGATATAAAGGTCATTGGGTATAATAGACGATTGATATAACAACTTTCAATCTAACATACCGATGGCATAAGATATAATATTCACTGAGTATAAAGTATTATAAATATAATTCCAGTGTTTTAGGTGCAATGAATCGAAAGTATTAGGCTCGAAAACACATAAAAATAATCTTGTAGAACTGATACTTCGCTTAGGTTAGGTTAGGTTAAAATATAGGTAAAAACTGCAACCATAACGGTACGAGAGCCGAGCGAGAAGAGAGCGTGTCGCGGCAGCGGCCGGCGAAGCGCCAATTCTAAATTTCGATGCGAAATCCTATTTGTGGTATAAAAACATTATTTTTGATGGACATGAGTTGATATGAATTGTTTTTTGATATTCAATTAAACATTCTTCATTTTTATTCAAATATAATAAAACGAAATAATCTGTTATATTATTTAATACATTATACGGGTAATACTCAATTAATTAGTTAATTGTGTTACAGAATCGTAATAGTTAATGTTTGTTATATTGAAGGTTTATTTAAACACATTGAAATTATGCCTTTTGTTGCTATACCAAGCGAAGATAGATTATTTGTTGTTATATCTTTCATTACACACTCAGCGCAGCCAGACACAGCATTGGAACCATTGAGTATATAACCAGAAATAGAGGCGAAACATGGGCCATATATTCCTGGTAATACATTAGCGATACATCTCTTATAAATATCAACTCCCGTTTGCACTGAAATATAGACAGGCCAACTACTGAGCTGTGTGTACGTCTCCGTATATTCCAAAAAATATTCTGTATTTATTGTAATAACGATAATATCTCTAACAATGCCGTGCTGTTCTATTCGGTGGTGTGGAAAAACAGCAAAATATCTAATTACAAAACAAACGGAATCACATTTCATCGGTAATTAAATATTAAATATGTAATTTTGCAATTTCCGTCCATTTTAGCAAAGCTCAAGTTAACTGGTCGATTTCAAGTGAAACAGTTGACGACACCCGTCAATTGTTTCGAACACGGGCTCGCCAATCGGAGCGCAGTTGTCACAGTAATGATATGGCAGATTAGTTTTCAAACAAATTAAATGACTTTTCGTCTCTACTTCTGGTTATATACTCGATAATTGGAATGTAAGAAATGGTTTGATCATAATGAATCCACCCCTAGCTCTCGGTAGCTGGTAAGGTACCGACTGAAAGAAAAACTTTTTAGATCTCCATTGTCGCTTACATTGGTAAAAGTCGAAATAAACTCAATAGAAAAGATTTGTAGTAACTCAGTTCAAAGAGCGGTGGTCCTAGTTTGGCATATAGACGGGTTCGAGTCCCTTTTTCTCTTTGTTTCGATCGATATATTAGTAACGATAATACATCATGTTTTTAAAGTAACTGCCTCCGTGGCCGAACGGTTACCATGCTGTACTTTTCTTGCCACCCAGAGGCCTACATATTTTTTCATAATATCAAGTGACGGGACGCTGCGCCTGGTAAGCTATACGCCTGTCCATAACAGTTCCAGTGCTACTGAGAGCTTTAAATCACGAATATCTGAAGGGCACTGCCACTGCACCTGTTACCCTGAGACGGTAACCTATCACAAACTCGATTTTTTTTCCGAAATAACGATTGTTCGAATTTTTAGTACACCGAAAACCGAATTATAACGAAACCGTTGTTCTTTCAGGATATGTTGGATGTTTATCGTAAAGACACGATTAGGTTCGGTTAGGAGTTAAGTTAGGTTTAAAAGAAAAAACATTTTCGTCTCAAAATTACTTTCGAGGTTATGAAAATTCGAGTAAACTTATTTCTGGAAAACGTCATTTCGGACTTTAAGAGTATGTAAGAGCCAGTGTGTAAATATGAAGGGACTGTAATGTGATAGTAGCCTGCAACATTTGTATATGCAATTCATGTTTTTCACTTCCCTGACGTTGTTCTTTAAGATACAAGCTTAAGAAAGTAAGGCAACGATATGTGCCTGTAATTTCACTTACTACTTGGCGGCAGAAATAGGTGAGGTGGCAGTACTTCTCTGGACGAACTCTTTCACACAGAGCTCTACTGCTATTAAAGTTTGAGTGTAATTAATAATAATAATAATAACACACACACTCAACATAGCCCCGCACTAGGGAAACCCTGTGTCGCGGGTGCCATGGACACACACATAGACAACCACAAATTACACCCAAACTCACGAGAGAAATAAATGTAGGTCATACAAATATTTCTCCCGGCCCGGGAATCGAACCTGGGACCTCTGCGTGGCAGTCCGGCATGCAAACCGTTCGGCCACCGAGGCAGTTATTAATAAATTTGTGGTTGTCTATGTTTCAGGAGAGTTTCCCTAGTGCGAGGCTAAGAGTGTGCGTTATATATTTATTATTTATTTAGTTTACATATAATAAAGTTTATTTCAAATTGCAGCAAACTTCTTACACGCCGGGACATCAACTCTGAACGAAACGGTGAATGAACAAAAAACAAAAGTTGTTGAAGCGGCCAAAAACGTGTTCTCCATATTTTCACCATCGGAAAAATAATAAAAATATTTTTTTATTTTGCATAGATGAAAACAACCTTCAAGAAAGAATACAAATCAAAATTACTGGGTCGTGGAATGCATTCAAAGATACAGATCAACAATAAAATAAAGCATTTCAAATTAGTTTTTAACTCGGCTACCTAGAACTTAGAATACACAGCTGTAACTGCTATTTTATGGTAGTCTGTATCATAGTAAACACACACAAAAAGTACAGACCAGAGTAAAATACAATTTTAATTGTAATACACCCAGTGGAACCCCAGAAGGTTACATTGTGATAACTATCATCATATGAGTCACTGGCATCGAGTATATAACTAGAAATAGAGACGAAATGTCATGTAATTTGTTTGAGAACTACTCTGCCAAATCATTACGGTGACAACTGCGCTCCGATTGGCCAGCCCGAATTCGAAATAATTGACGGGTGTCGTCAATTATTTCACTTTAAATCGACCAGTTTAACTTGAGCTTTGCTATAATGGATGATAATTAGAAAATTTAATATTTTTACGTTTGTTTTGTAATTAGATGTTTTTCCCACATCACCGAATTGAACAACCCCCCTACATAGTTAGAGATATTATACTTTTATTACAATAAATACAGAACATTTTTGGAATATACGGAGACGCACACTCAGGTCAATTGTTGACGCTGTACTATTTCAGCTTTCTAATTTGTGATTTCAGCGCAAACGAGAGTTGATATTTAAAAGTGATATATGGACCATTTGCTTGATGGGTTGCCAGGGATGGATGGCCCTTATTTCGTCTCCATTTCTGGTAAAATACTCGATGTGATAACCATCTTCATATGGGTCACTGGCCAGATATACCAGAAAGTGTAATTTGAAAAATGAATGACTTCAATTGTTTTTTGATTCCTAAATCGGTCATTCTCGGTCTAGTGTTCACTACCTAATGCAGTGGCAATTTCTATTATTTAAATATTCAAGTGTATTATCGTGTAATTATTAAATAATATTTCACGATGCAATACTCGAATATTAAGAGGGAGCAGAGGAAAAATTCCTAATCTTCGATTTGATTTTAGAGGGGTATATCCACTTTAAAGTCAAAAATAAAATATTGTATGAGTAACTGTAACTACACGATATATTCAAGCATAGACATTAATCAGAAAAATTAAACAATAAAGTTTCCTCGATAGATAAAAATCACGAAATGACCTCTAATTTTCACATTTTTTCGATTCATCCTCGAAATGCTACAGGTTATTAGGACAAAAATTAGATAATTAATTATATTTATGCATGATCGACAACTGTCACTATGGATTTTTTTAATCCCTTTAGTTTTAGGGTTATTCCGCTGAAACGAATTTGGTACTTTTAATGCGCAAAATTCAACATCTCCTGTCGCATGTCACGCGAACTTCAGGCATATATTTGTTTCACAAATTTGGGCGGAGTCAACGTCAAAACTTTTTTGGCATGCTCCCTCTTAAATAACTATTCACATAATAACATTGCTCGAGCCATGACACGCAGGCAAAGTCGGCAGTAATGTCCTAAATTATGCCCACGGGCTTCTTTATATTTACATTTACTTTTTATTACATTATCTCGATATAGATTTTTTATCTTTACTTGACAGGTGGGTAATTTTCAAGTTACTACATAATATGTTTTATTTTTTTTCAAACGTAAGCTTTCTTGATAAAATACAGATATGGCAAAATAGACAATAAAAGCGATGTGTATCGGCACATGTGGCGTCCTCGTTTGGTCGGCGAGAGTTGGCTCGAGAATAGCGCTCATGTTAACAATGGCAAAGGCCTGTCGATGATGATGTCGTTGTCGTCATTTTTATTATTGAAATATTTAGAATGTTATCATGAAGTATTATTTAATATTCAAGTGTAGTAACCATAAGCGCGCATTTATTCGAAACGAATTTCATCGCGCGTTGCCGAGAAATGAATGAATAAATGAGCGTCTCGGGCGCGCGTGCGAGGCTGGCTTGAATTTAGTCTACGAGGCGGCCGCGCGGTTGTATTCTACTAGTAAATAGAATACAGATTGCCCATTGATGTACATGAAGGCGTGGTAACTGGGCGGTCGCTGCGTATAACTGGGCGCTTTATGCTATCGTTGCTTAAGGAGGGTTTTAAAGCCGAGCGCCTCGTGGCTACGAGATTTTAAGACCTAATTATGCAGTGACTGCATACAATACCTTTTCTACAAGAAGATAATATAATGAAACAGAACGAATGTTTGTTGTATCTATTTTGTTAACAATGCATAACCACAAACGCAATTTTTTTTTCAATAATTTTTAGGGGTAAGTTGTTCTCACAGCAATAACTTTGCAAGAAAAATATATAGTAATACATGTGAAACACGTCGTTAAGCGTCAAGTGATGCGCATTGCCGGCAGCCATTTCAGTTCCTCCAGAGACAACGGAAGTGTGGCTATGTGCGTGGAGATGTCAAAACGTCACGTAAGTACATTTTTTCTTGTGTAATTTTTTTGGTCTGTCTTTGTTTATTATGGGCCGATTCATACGCAACTTTTCCAAATTGTAGTGACATTAGTAAGGAATCTTTTTAAAATCTATATAGGAATCTTTTTGTTTGAATATTTTTTTCATTGATTCTATTACTTTGCCGGTGTGTCAGTCTTCGTATAAAAACGTAATTTGGGGCTATAAGTTCCTCCCTCAAGGGGCTGGTTGTTCCTAGGAACAACTTCGCCAATTAACCTGCAATCATACTTAAAATTCTTACTTTGTTTTAAGGATGCGAAACTACAAATATTTAGACAAGATGACAAAGTTACTTATGTATGTCTCAACTGTGATTCAGATGAAGAAATGAGCTATGAAAAATATTACTGATGAATAAGAATGTAGTTGTTTTTTTAAGTTATGCATAATATAAACATTACATACACACAATTATAAAAACGGTGGTTTTATTTAAGAAAATCCTTGTTATCCTGTGATAATTTAGGCGGAACAATTTGCCTCAAAAGCGGAACAATGCGCCCCAAAGCGGGGCTGAATGTTCCGCTCCGAAATTTGTCAAAAATTTGTCTCTATGAAAAAAACTATTGACATATTAGTAGAAGTGACTATACTATTACAAAAAGCGATAAACATTCGTTGAAAATCAAATGCTTCATTTTCAATTGAAACTTCAACTTATTTGTAAATCGGAACGTTCAACCCCTCTCTCCCCTACCGCATATATTTTATCTACCTAAGATGGAAAACATTTTTGACCAACTTTTTTTAAAATATGCATGTGAGGTAAAATAAAAAGCGTAAATACTAGAAACTATTCTAGGATTAAATTACTACTTCCCGATGTAGTGGAAATGAGATACTTATAATAGCGTTGTAGCATCTCGACCGTCTCTCTGTTAGATCCCTGTTTCTTGGAAGCCATGACACCAAATTTCCGGTCTCGACTTAGGGTATTTCCTGTTACTATGAATACCAGAACAACGATAATTCTGAGGGCAATGCCCAGAACACCCAGACAAGATACAACTTAGAAATGTTTGTTTCATAAATTGACACAAATCGGGACACCCGACCAGTTTATTTATATAGACATAAAGTGTTATATTATGTACACTATTCTAACCACAGTATGGTTATTATTTTTTATAGGTTCGTCATATATCAAGTGACATATGACAAACGTGATATACATATGGCTATATGTTTGTAATTTGAAACAATTGAAAGTTTTAAACGAAGCGAAACATTTATAGTTACTTCGACTATTAGATGACAAAATAAGCTTTACAGTAGTAGGAAGAGGGAATCCAATGGAGATGAGGACATGGAACAAAAAGGAATGATCGTATAAAGGACAGTTGAGTACAATATGACTTATTATATCGCCCATCTCTCCACACTCGCAAAGGTCACTGTCTATAATTTTAAACTTAGCTAAGTGGGCCGGAGAATGCACATGCCCCAGACTCATGCGAATCAGTACACTTGTGGTCAACTTTCCAAATTTCATTTTGGAAAACCAAGGCTTAGCAGGAATGTTTATTATGGACCAATTCATACGTAACTTTTCTAAATTGTAGTGACATTAGTAAGGAATCTTAATGTTTGAGTGTTTTTTTTACTGATTCTATTACTTTGCCAGTACGTCAGTCTTCATATAAAAACTTAATTTGGGGCTATAAGTTCCTCCCCCGAGGGACTGGTTGTTCCTACGAACAATTTTCCCAATTGTACTTAAAATTCTTATGACCATTTTGCAATGAATAATATTACTGATGAATATGAAAGTAGTTGTTTTTTAAGTTTAGTTGTGCATAGCTTAAACAATTATAAAAAGGTTTAAATTGTTATTGATGTGGATATTCAATTATTTCTATGTGAAATTAGTCCTCTAGTTTGTTATACTTATTATTAATGCAAAGATCGAACACTCAGAAAATAAATTTCGTGTTCGATATTTGTATTCATAATTACAACAAACTAGTGGAGTAATTTCACATAAAATAATTGAATATCAATTCAATAAAATTTAAATACAATGAATAGCGACATCTCTAGCCGGGACTGGTGGCAGTAAAGGTATCTAACTGGATGACGAAATATAATAGATTTCTGATAGATGGCGCTACGGCTAAAAAAGTAGTTGAAAAACCTAATACGGCACAAGCCCATAGAAAAATTCGTGAGGTCCGCTGGTTCGTTCCGTGGTTTAGTTGGTATAGCATCTTGTACGGTATGCTAGAAGACGTCGGTTCGAATCCGACCGGATCAACGGTGTTCGATCTACATAAAATTTCATAAAACAAATTATGTGAAATTTTATAACTTTACTATTTAAGTATACAAGAAGTTATAGACTAATTTTGTTCGTAGAATCTTTCAGTCTCTTCAGAAAAGTTGTCATTTAACATCTGCCTAAATAAATTAAAAAAAATTGTACAACAATTTTTTATTCATCTACTATTTTTATCGCTATAGTGACGTGAAAAGTTGTAAAGTTGTTTTGCGTCTCGTGGCTTGAAACTTTATTTTGGAACAACGAGCGAATGACAAACGCATATCACCGTCTCACTCGTATTTCGTATAAGCAGTTTATTGTGAGATATATTTGATTCCGTCCCTCCGAAGGCCCTCTTGAATATTGGCGATGATGATTGGTTTGACACTATCGAATCTATCGCAGAGCTCTTGAAGGTTCTGATGAGTGTCTCTTGATATCATAGCTGTGAAGTTTAGAATGTCATACCTTTAGTGTCACCCTTCCGAAAAATCATTTTTAGGGCGTTTTTAATCGACTTCAAAAAACAGGTTCTGAATTCGACTGTATTCTTACTTTACTTATTATTTCAAAGGTGAACCGATTGCTATGATTCTTTTTGTCGGAACAGCAGTACCTCTGTAGTGATCTTATCCAAATTTGGATATAAAATTCTACCTAGTAGAGCTCCTTGTGAAGAGTTCGTCCAGGTAATTACCTAGTTCGGCCGCCAAGCAATAATGTTAGCATTACTGTGTTCCGGTCTTGAAGGGTTAGGGTGCTGGTGAAATTACAGGCACGTGGGACTTGTGACTCGTAAAAAATTATACCCGTCAAAATAAATAACATTCCAGTAAAGCATGTGCCGCATTTCAAACATCTTGGTAGTGTTATCACATATCGCAGAAGTCTCCAAATGTACCACTGACATAAAGACTAGTATCGCAACAGCAAAACAGGCTTTCCATAGTATAAAACACATTTTTACATCTTAAATACGTTTACAATTGAAAAAAAAAGCAATCATCAAAACCTATGTCTGGAGTGCCGATTGGAGTCATTGGAAATGTTGTGTAGGAGGCGAATGGAAAAAATATAACATAACCATTGACTTACAAATAAATGGATAACGGGTCTAATACAAAAACCACAAAAAAAATGTCCCAAGTCAACCTATTTAAACGTAGTGACAAGTAAAGGAATATGAAAAAGTTAAAACGTTGAATTTAAATTATTATGTCATCGCAGTACTGTCTAATTTTGCTTGCTTCGCTGTCAGTCGAACAAACGAAGACTAAAGCGTGAATGACGCTCTGTATACGATTTTAACGCCCTATAAGTTCGGACACTTCTTAGCGCGGACCCGACGTCCATATAATTGTAAGTCAATGAATATAACTTTTTCATTGAAAAAAAAAGAGACCTCAAAAGTTTGCTTATCAGCTTTTTTCGATTTCCTTGAGATCCCCTCATCAGGTTCTAACTTCTTGGTGACAACGGGACTGTTACGGACTCCTTTGTACATTTTATATTTTCTTTTCTAGTTGTCATGGTGAGAGTGATTTGTTGATTAGATGTTTTGTGTCAAGTGAAGTAAACCTTTATTTGCGGAAAATAATTAGTAATTTGTGATAGTCTGCTATCGAACCCGAAACAGCATCAAAGTCAGTGCACAATTAATGGAGAAATTGGTGACTACACGGACATGCCTATAAAATTTGAGGAATTCCTTCGATTTCAAACAAAACAGAAATTTTCAAAATCGATCTACAGTTGACGAAGATATCTGAAAACATACATACAGCCGAACGTATAACGTCCTTCTTTTTTGAAGTGGATTAAAATGGATTGACAAAAATCAAATGAGGAAGTTTTGGAAAGGGTTTGGGAGGAGAAAAGTCTTTTGAATGCAATAGAGAGGAGAAGAGGGAAAATGTTTGGACATTTGTTGCGTAATGACGAATTCGAGAGTATGATCATTGAGGGGACGATAGAAGGAAAAAGAAAGAGAGGAAGACCAAGAATGGCATACCTATAATGAACAAATAAAAGATAAAACGTCTAGGAACTGGCTATGAACCGTGAGGAGTGGAGGAGGCTACACCGACAAGAGTCTGACTCATAAATAAGACGATGAAAGTAACCCGTGGTCGAGTATGATTTCTACAGCATCTTTGACCATCTCCCTGGATCATCTCGCTGGTACCTGACATATTACTGTACGAGACAAGCAGCTTGTACGTGTTGATCCTTCGAGCCAGCTTCTGAACCAGCGACCTATGGATATGACATCAAGTATATAACCAGAAATAGAGGCGAAATAAAGGCCATCCATACCTGACAATTCATCAGGCAAATGGGCCTTATATTGTTTTTAAATCAAGTCTCGTTTTCACTGAAATCACAAATTAGAAAGCTGAAATAGTACAGCGCCAACAACTGACCTGTGTGTACGTCTCCGTATATTCCCAAAAATATTCTGTATTTATTGTAATAAAGATAATATCTCTAACTATAGGGGGTTGTTCCATTCGGTGGTGTGGGAAAAACAGCAAAACATCTAATTATAAAACGAACGGAATCACATTTCATCGGTAAATATTAAATATGTAATTTTTCAACTGGTCGATTTGAAGTGAAACAATTGACGACAGCCGTCAATTATTTCGAATTCGGGCTGGCCAATCGGAGCACTGTTGTCAGCGTAATCATGTCTCAGAATAGTTTTCAAACAAATTAAATGACATTTCGTCTCTATTTCTGGTTAGATACTCGATGTCGATGTTCATATCCCAATATGAATACGACACGAGCAGCTCTCTCCGTCAACACTTTCCGTTAATCGACTTCAATGAAACTTTTCAATGGAACTTGGCAAATAGATGTAATTCGACAAACTTTTGAGGTCTACAATAGGTCTGGCATATTTTGCGTATTTAATTCTTAGTTTATTATGATTGTACGTACCTAACAATTGGCCTAACCTAGCCAAACTAAGATCTCCTTTGCCCCAAGCAACTCTCTCGTAACACTTGTCGAAATATTCTGGGCTTACTCTTCTACAGTCGATTATCTTGCATGCCAAAAACCATTCTTTTACTACCTCGTATTTTGCCCCTGTAAATTCGAAAAATGAGAACGGTAGAGCCCCATATCGTCTACATTCGTTTTGATTGTAGTGACCCTCACTACCGACCCTTAGTGTGTACGAGAAGGGCTATATTGACCTGTGCGCGCAAAGGAACCTCATAAGTTCAGGATCTGATCCCAGATCAGCCAGTGAATAGGGTTGTCACAGACCTCCGTCATTTGACTTCATCCGGTTTACGAGAGGCTAGTGCCTCGGGTAAGCCGCCCAGGATACACGTACAGTACCCTCCCTATTTTCCAGATGGGTACCGGAGCTGTAGGCACGCTCACTTCCCGTTGCGCATTGCACACCGCTAAGCCTTCGACTCTGAGTCAACTACCAAATCTCCTCTGCCAAGCTCACTTCCCGACGCCAAAGAACAACGTCTCTCAGTTCCCAATAACCTAAACAGCTGGAGGGACCGGAGGATATCTAGCTTATCCTCTAGCTTACTAACTAGCTCTCCGGGTTAGTGCCGGAGATGCCAACATAGCTTAGTTTACTTTGGTAGCAGTAGAGCACCTTGTGAAAGAGTTCGTCCAGGGAATTACTGCCACCTTACCTATTTCTGCCGCCAAGCAGTAATGTCAGCATTACTGTGTTCCGGTTTTGAAGGGTAAGAGTGATGTTACAGCCACATGGGACATGTTAACTTATGTCTCAGGGTGACGGGCGCAGTGGTAGTGCCCCTCAGATCTTTGCGATTTAAAGCTCTGAGGACACTGCAATTGTTATGTGCCCCGCGGCACTTCAGGTCCTCAATTAGACCGCTACTAAGACACGCTAGCTGCTCACGAGACAGACGCCCCGGCCACATGCAACCGGGGCAGACTCCTATATCTATAGGGCAGACAAACATGTCCGTAAATGAAAATGGTGCAGTGGGAGAACATCGTCATCATTGCCGACCCTTTACACGTCCCAGCGCTGGGCACGGGTCTCCTCTACGGACATCGCTTAGGCGACACGCAAACATATGTCTTGTCTTGAGGACTGTTAATCGCGGCACAAGACAGCGTAGTCAAGTATTTAGTGCCTACGAATACACCAGATTGCGCGACGAGTGCCAAATTGCTATTTTTGTAAGTAATTTTTAAAGCTACTCTAATTTCTAGTCGTCATATCAGCCGGAAGACGTCCACTGCGGAACATGGGCCTCCCTCAAAGATTTCCAGACCAGCCGATCAGACGCGACGTGTATCCAACGGTTACCCGTCGCCGCAGTAGGGGACCGTCCCACTGAGCGCCTTCCGGTTCCTGGTCTCCATTCAAGAACTTTTCTGCTCCAACGGTCGTTCAACAAGTTCAAACAGTTCTACGAGCTATGTGCCCTGCCCACTGCCACTTCAACTTGCTAATCCTTCGAGCTATGTCGGTGACTTTCGTTCTTCTACGGATCTCCTCATTTCTGATTCGATCACGAAGAGAAATGTCGAGCATTGCTCGCTCCAAACCACCAGAGCCGTAGGTCATCCCTGGCAACACGCACTGCTCGAAGACTTTTGTCGTCAAGGACTGCGGTATTGCGGACGAGAAGACGTCCCGGAGCTTCCCGAAAGCTGCCCAACCGAGTCGGATTCGACGATTGACCTCTTTCTCGAAGTTGGCCTTGCCTAATTGGACTGTTTGTCCGAGGTAGACGTACTCGGTTACATAATTTCTAGTGATAACAAACAAATCAACTAGATGGCGCTTGTTGAATGCATTTTTAGGGATACTGCTGGCTATTCTTTTAAATTGTTTAGGATTAGCGCCATCTACCCATATTAGGAAGCATTAATTTATAAATTAATTTGTAACACACAATGTCGTTTTATTGACACGCATATTATTATTTGTCAAAGTTCAGACAATAATTTTATCTCGTGATCAATATTGAATAACAACAACAAGGAAAAAACTAACTTCTTATACTTCATATAAAGAGGTATTAGTGTGAGGCCAGACGAGCGTAATTTTGTGAGTTGTAATCCTGCAGTTCAAAAACCTCACCTTAAAGGTTGATACAGTACCTTCCGTTCTAGTGACAGCTTTTAACACATTATGTAATTCTTCGAAATTGGGTTGAGCGCCTTCAGGCCTATATCCTCTGGGGCAGGCCATTTATGTAAATTATACACCTTATTGTTAGGACTTGTGCCGAGTAGTTTAAGGTTCGATGAGAATAGATAATTTAATATTCTGTATATTTATTTTGATAATATCATTTATTGATGGACACTCTAGTAGGCTTTAATATTGTCGATATTTTGGGGATAGAAAGGGTTTAATAAGTTTAATTAAATCAATTTGATAAGAATTATAATCTTTTTAAATTTTTATTAACCGACTTCAAAAAGGAGGAGGTCCTCAATTCGACTGTATGTTCTTTTTTCTTTTTTGTATGTATGTTACGCGATAACTCCGGTATTTGTGAACCGATTTTCATGATTCTTTTTTGTTGGAAAGGAGGTACTTGCATAGTGGTTCCATTTCATTTTGAAGAAAATCATCCACCTCGAAGGGTGGCTTTTTTATAAATAGCGCCTAACTTTAATTTAGGAGCAATTACTTTAATGATTGATTTTGCTATTTCTCCAATTCAAGGCGTTTTTCTCTCGATATACTTTGAGTAGTGAGAACCGATTTTTATTATCTCCAGTGTCAAGTCCTGTATAGTGGCGTACTAGGGGATATTTCAATAAAACTTAGCAAATAGACGTAATTCCACGTACTTTTGAGGTCGTTTTTTTTAGTACTCTGCACTGAGATTATTGAATTGATATTCAATTATTTTTATGTGAAGTTACTCCACTAGTTTGTTATAATTATTAATACAAATACGAACACTCAGAAAAAATTCCTTCGATCCCGCCGGATTCGAACCGACGTCTTTTAGCATACCGTGGCAGACGCTATACCAACTAATAAATAAATTAGAATCTTTTTATATAAAGAAACCAAACTCAAAGTTTGATCCGCTTTCCGTGTTCGTTACCGTCTTTGTCGCCACTTTATAGGTTATTGGATGTAGACTACTTAAGTACCTGGTTCAAAATATTCTCAATGTAGATATTGAGGGATCACAAAAGATACTTATAGAATACTTATAGATAATTTATAGATATACATATAAGCTACCTACCTTGGGACCATAAGACGACCACAAACATGATGAAAATGTTTGTGGTCGTCTTATGGTCCCAAGGTAGGTAAAAGGTGAAATAGCACCAAGAAAACAGGATACAGTTCCACTCACTGCGATATTATTTCTCTTTTACAAGCACACAACAGAAATAGTTCACAGCAAGAAAGAAAGCAAGAAAGAAGATATTCATAATATTAACCTTAGAGCTAAGTCCAAACTCATGGTACCACGATTTCGTTTAACCAAAGTAAACAACTCTTTTATGGGGAACTTTATACGTTTTTACAATAAGATTCCGGAGCATATATTAAGTTTATCATTTCCTAAGTTTAAAAACTACGTTAAAAATATTTTGATCGAAAAATCATATTACAAAATTGAAGACTACGTGTTAGATAAAGATGTATGGAAAGACTACATGGCTCCAGAATCCGTACAAATTTGATTCAAAGTGTATTTATTCCATAGCATTTAAGTTTATTTGTAAAGAGCAATCCCTAGAGTTTCTTGCTCGTTCTTCTCAGGGAGGTCAGCGCAGTGAACGAGCAGTAGCTTAAATGTGACGTTTTCAAGTGTAAATTTGTTTTACCTATGGAATAAATAATCTTTGACTTTGACTTTGCAATATAGATGATAGATTACACACACAAAGAAGTAGAAGATGAAGGCGAAGAAGTTAGGAAAATAGCACAGCGACAGAAATACGCAAAATATAAATAATTCGCAAGGCAATCGACAAAAGCCTATCAGGATGACTCCGTATATCACTCCTAGACTAGGGAGTGATATACGCTGTCCTAGGAGTCCTAGTGAAGGTAGGTGCAGACGCTCACCATCGTCGCGGCTCGCGTCAATGCGTGTACGTTGCCGTGTTCATAGCGGCCCGCGATACATTTAGTCGTTACGATTTTTACTCACGACCGCGTTACGATATTACAGTTTATGTAAGTTGACATGATTATGTTTTACTTAGTAACTTATTTTAGTTTGAAAATTACGTTAATACAATAGTTACCTAATAATAGTTAATGTATAAGAAATAATGTAAACAATATCAACGTTATATATAAATGCAATATAAATATAAACTTATTAGTTATAAGATTAGCTTCTACTTAAGTATTTATGAGGTTACTAGTGGAGCAGGTACGCCACATGTTCATAACAGTATACATTGTGCTATGAGGAAGAACCGTAGAGGTGCCTCGTATGTTAGACTTGTGCCTGATCGGTCTAGTTAGTTCAATCGGTCAACTGAACTATGTCGGTCTTCTAGTTCGTTTAGTTCATCTAGTTCCTTAGTTAGTTAGTTCGTCTTGTCCTTGCTAGGACACTGAACGAACGCTCCAAACTAGTAATTTTATTCACATGAACTACTACGGATTTCTCGTATTATGAGATCAATAATACACTGTACTAAATTATTTAAAAATACAATACATACACAATACAATAAATACACAACGCCAGAGGGCGCGACTAGGCAAAACATCGATCCGTGAAATTTATTTTATTTAAATTAAGTAAATTGTGTAATTTATCATAAAAATATATACAAATTAATCATTTATATGCAAATATTCAGTGTAAGTGTTTGTGAAGTGCTTTGAGAACAATTAGTATAGATATACAAAAAGTTACACTACATTCATTTCTACGACGATTTTGGTCATTAATCTTATAATAAATGCATAAACTCTAGTTGAACCGAATTCAGAGTAGCTTACGGATGAATTGTTTAACTCTCGTACTATAACTGCAGTGACTTCAGTGTTTAATTTTAAATTCGATATCCGTAACGAATATTTCGTTAGATCATTGATAAATTGACCTTTGGACCCTGAGTAGTCATTCATTATTTACTCTGTCTTTGCGGCTTTTTAGTTATCCGTGCACGCCATCTAGTGAGGACTTGTATAACAACGTCACCCTGAAGAAGATCATAGATCAACGCTTTAACATTTACTACGACACGCTACTAGAGGGCGATACCTGTATAATTACCAGGGAAATATAATTTATTTTAACTTACTTGACTAATTAATTTATATTTTAATCACTTCATTGAGGTTAATTTTTTTGAGAAAATGGCAATGGCAATTTGTAAGCAAAAATTGAAGTGTACTGCATGCAAACAAACTATTACCACAAGAGAATTTTTAAAATGCATCCAATGTGACAAAGTATTTGATGTTAATTGTACTAGAGACATATCAGAAAAAAGGTTTCGTTTGATGACGCCAATAAGGAAGCAGGTATTAATGAAATCTTGGAAATGTCACGTTTGCGTAGCAAAAATTGAAAATATAGTGGAAAAAATAAAGGTCGCCACTAAAATTAACGTTAATCAGAAACAAATCATAACACCCATAAATCAAAGTACGCCCCGGTCGTCACCTAACGTGTTTTATTCATCGGAATCCACGCCCTCTGCAGGGAATATTGCTGAGCATAACAACTATGTAGTTAACGTGCCTACAGAAAACTCTTTTGCATCTTTGAATTCGGACACTGATGATGAAATTCCTGAAGTTGACGAAGGATTCTCTCTACTACAAAAAACAACCCTGAATAGAAGCTGTCCTGACTTATCAAGAGCTGATTCTGATAATATAAAAGAAATGAAAATGAAATTGGACAATTTGATGGATAAACTGGAAACGACAAATAAAATGTACAATGATTTGCTATTAGAAAATGGTTCGCTACATAAAAGAATCACTGAGTATGAACAAAAAATCGATAAACTTACTCGCATCTGTAAGTTAGCTCCTAAACAAAAACCTAGCAAAAAAGAGCGTAAAAGTATTAATACAGTCGACTATAATATTCATGAAACAAACCTCAAAGAACTGAGTTTTAAACAGTCAGAGCCAGAACCAGAACTAAATGAAGAAATAGAAATGATTAATGAAACACAAGAAAATGAATTAGAAATAGTAAATTATAATAAAAAGATGCCTACTGCCGGGAAAAAGAAAATTATTATTTTGGCTGATCAAATGGGCAGAAAAATTAGGCAAACATTACAAACACTCGTTGGATCACAATTTGATGTACATTGCTTCTGCAAACCTGGAGCTAAGCTATCTGAGATTTTGAAATCATATGCAAGTGATATTAGAAACTTAAATGACGATGATTTTGTTATCATCATGGGAGGCATGAATGACGATAATCCATTTAGCATTATTTCTAGCATGACTATATGGTTGAATAAGTTTACGAAACCAAATGTTATTCTTTGTGAAGTCCCATTTAATAAGCATTTGAATGAAACTAAGTTAAATTATGAATTTAAATTATTATGTAGTAAACATTATAATGCAACTTTTTTAAACATGGACTTCAGTAGATACATACCAAACCGTAAGCAGTTCTCACTAATAGTGTCACGATATTTGCTGAGGGATATTTTACACATTGGCTACAGAACAAATTACAATAATTTTATCAATAGACAACGTCACATAAAGTTCGTAACTGCATCCACACAAACTGAGCCATCACTAAAATTAATGGACAACATAGTTGAAAACAAGATTGACTTAAAAACTGACAATTTTTTTCGTAGCTAACTATATTAACATACTACATCAAAATATTAACGGACTAATTAATAAATCTGACTTACTAACAATAGTACTTGACGAATCATTTGACAGTGGTAAATCCGTGGACATTATTTGTATTACTGAACACAATATGGTGAATGAGGATCTGCATTTATTAAATATACCAAACTTCAAACTGGCAGCTTGTTACACAAGGGAAGTTAGACATGGCGGTACATGTATTCTTATTAGAAAACAATCTCGATATAAGTTATTGGAATCAATAACATGTTTTAGTATATCCAACGTAATTGAATGCTGCGGTATCGAGCTCATAGATCATAATTTAACAATAATATGCTTTTATAGAGTACCAGTAAATACTAAACATCATTTTAATTTATTCTATGAAAGTCTTCACGACATACTGTTTCAATTCTGTTATAAGATGACTAAAAATATTATAATTTGTGGTGACTTTAACATTGACATTCTTGAAAATACAATTTATACAAAACAACTCAATAATCTGCTTGCAAGTTTTAATCTAATAACTGGAATTAATGAGCCTACTCGTCTCTGTAGTGGCAAGTGCATAGATAATATATTTCATAATATTCAGGGAAGCAAGGCTAGTGTTATAGAATACGCTTTGTCTGATCACACTGCACAACTACTGAAATGCCCGGTAAAAAGAACATATAGTCATAAATTTTGGTATAAATTAACTCATGATTTATCAAAACACAATATGATTAAATTTAGAGATCATTTAAATAGTATACGTTTCAGTGATGTTTACTCTACTAAAGATCCCAATAGTATGTTCAATATGTTTTATGATATCTTTAAACTACTATATGATTTATGCTTTCCCAATAAAAAAGTCAAAATACATTCTCACACGAAACCTCAATGGATTTCACGAGGAATAAAATTGTGTTGTAAGAAAAAAAGGGAGATGCTATGGCTTTATAGATACACTCGAAACATTAAACATAAAATGAACTATCAACTGTATACTAAACGGTTAAAAAAAATTATTTACTTGACAAAACGTTCACAAAACAACCACTATATCCTAAATGCTAAGAATAAAAGTAAGGCGGCTTGGAATATTATAAATAAACATAGAGGTACATATCCTAAAGAAACTGTTGTGGATGTAATCAGAAACGGAGAGAAAATAAGTAATCCTAAATGTATAGCTCAAGCTTTCAATGACTACTTCATAGAACAATTTCAACCAGTACATCAGAATATGAAAAGAACTAATAACAATTGTCTTTATAACAATCCTAAATCTATGTTTATGCATCCTGTAGCCCCACATGATGTAATGAAAGTAATAAGTGACTTGAAAAATACGAACAGTACTGGATACGATAACATTAATACTAAGGTAGTAAAGTTTGTAGCTGACATTATATCTACAGTGCTGAGTCATATTTTTAATAAATGTATAGAAGATGGGATATTTCCTGACAAGCTGAAGTTATCAATCATAAAACCACTTTTCAAAAAAGGTGACAAATTTTGTCTCAGCTCGTATAGACCTATTGCATTGATACCGGTGTTTTCCAAAATATTCGAAAAAATCATATATAATAGTTTAAGCAATTACTTTGAAGGCAATAATATATTCTGTTCAGAACAAAAAGGATTTCGAAAAAACAAATCTATTAACTTGGCTATCTATGACTTTTTGCAGCAAATTTACAAACGAGTTGACACCAAATTGCCTGTACTAGCCTTGTACATTGATCTAACAAAAGCTTTCGATCATGTTGACCATAAGATACTATTAAATAAACTAAATGCATATGGGGTAAGGGGTAATGTTCATAATCTTTTAAAGTCATACCTAACTGACAGATTACAGTCCACTGTGATAACTAAATTTTGCTTTAACACCAAGACCGAAACTGAATATTACTCTAACACTAATAATGTCAAATGTGGAGTGCCCCAAGGCAGTATTCTGGGACCACTATTATTTTTAATATATATCAATGACTTTCCAAGGTCAATTATGCATCCTATGGTATTATTTGCAGATGACTGCACAGTAATTTGTAATAGTGAGAATGAAGTTAAAGACAGTTTGACGTGTATATTAAATTGGCTAAAATTAAATAATCTTAAAATCAATTTTGATAAAACCAAGTTAATGAGTTTTAGACAAAGAAATCAATATAAAATAAAGAACATTGATTTCCTCGGTAAAAATATCGATGAAACGAATGTTACGAAGTTTCTGGGATTACATGTTGATAACAAATTAAAGTGGAGTTCTCAAATTGAAAAGGTTTGTTCAACACTGAGCAAACTGTCGTATTTTCTGTTTAAGCTGAACAAAGTTGTTGAGAGAGAAGTAGTTCTACAAGCTTACCATGCGTACGTAGCTTCTAGTTTAAGATATGGGATAATGTTTTGGGGAAATGCTTCAGGAATTGATTCCGTACTCCGTGCTCAAAAGAAGTGTGTGAGAGCTATTTGCAAATTAAGGCGAACAGACAGCTGCAAGCCTTACTTTAAAGAACTTAATTTATTAACATTACCAGGATTATTTATTTATGAATGTTCTATTTTCATCAGAAAGCACCCAGAAATGTTTAAGAAAGTTGCACGAGCACGTAATTGTGACAAATTATGTATAGCATCGCATAGAACTACTTTATTTAGTAAAAGTGCATTTGTCATGGCGCCTAAAATTTATAATAATCTACCTAAGGATATTCGATTAATCAGTAATTTTAATGAATTTAAAAAGAAACTTTTATATTTCTTATTAAATAATACCTTTTACTCCGTGGCCGAATTTTTTGACATATAATTTACTGACATATTTTACCTAAATTATTTAATTAGACATGTGAGTAACATATAAACATTTTATTTTTATTATTGTAATGTGATTTGATATATTTTTTTATTAATTTGTTATTGTAGTTATAATTAATTTAGTATTGTATTTGACATTTATTAGAATTTGAATTTAATTGTACCTATATAATTATTTGCATGCCAACTATGGTAGAATAAGCTGGACTTACCTAGAATTAAGAACACAATGTACCTTATTCTGACAAATAAATAAATTGATTGATTGATTGATTGATTGATTGATTGACAATTTGTATGGAATCGGTACTATATGATTTTCCTTCATATTTTACAGGTTTAAAAACTGTCATTTTAACAAGATATCGTTTTTTTGTACAAAATAAGAATTTTAGTTGCAACGGTGTGTTTAAAATATTATATTACAATATTTAGGTACATACATACAACTATATCATATACTCGTACACGTAGGTTGATATTATACATACAGATACCTACCACACCTACCAAAACATATGAGCAATTACTTTTTTGCAAGCTTACATATTTTAAACATAATACATAATGTAGATGCGCATTAGAGAAGACGTATTAGAACGAGCTGGCAACGTTCAATCGTGCATCCCACTCGAACTTGTGCTAAAAGCAGTGAAAGATCGCTGTTTGTCCCGCTCACACCGTTTCTATTGAATAAAAGACAGGTGAACTATCAACGCAGACAGTTCCTAGTTCATATTGAACTAAAAAGAACGATGAACTATTAAAACCGTACAAGACGAACTAGTTCATGTCGGGAATATATTCCGTATGTCACGTACAAACCCCCACCAGTTAGTCCAACCACTGACCCAACAGGATAGAAGCCTCGATAGCTAGTAATTACGGTCCAAGCGTACATGCCAGCTACTACCAGGTCGATTGATGTCAACGATAGGCACCCACAGTCATAAGCGTTTATGAGGCTAGTCTACTGCGACTCGAGTCAGCACGTGGTAAATTTATAGTCATAGAACATGTATCGTTACAATATTAAACTTGACAATTAAGTTGGTTGCGCGTCTTTCCACCGTGTCTATGCAACTTATCTGTTGTTTGTCTCTTAGTGTATATTCACTTACACAGTCATATCTTTAGTTTTATCCAAACTGAAGTGCATTCGGTTCCCGCCATTCTCGTTAACGTTACTGCCGTCTCCATAGTGCCATAATCTCGAGTACTAAAAAACCAACCTCAAAAATTCGTGGAATTACATCTGTTTGCCAAGTTTTATTGAAATCGGTTACCGGAAAGTGCGCAAAACCGTATTCATCCCCTAGTTCGCCACTATAGGAGACTCAACACAGGAGTACTCACTCCTTAAAGTATATTGAGAGAAAAACGCCTTCAATTGGAAAATAGCAAAATCAACCATTAAAACAATGCTCCTTATAAAATGTAGGCGCTATTTATCGAGGTGGATTCTTTATTATTATTGTTTTAAAATTTAACCACTGACCACTACTGAGGGACCCTCTTTCCAACAAAAAATAATCATCAAAATCGGTTACATACATACAAAAAAAAACATACAGTCGAATTGAGGAACTCCTCATTTTTTTTTAAGTTAGTTATGGATGATATTCGTTTACTTACCAAAACGATTGATTATCGTTTGGCAGTGTTCTCCTCAATGATAAACTGTAAGTCGACAGTCATGCCTCGATTCCACAAACTAGTGGAGTAATTTCACAAACAAAAACAATTGAATATCATGATAGTAAAACATCGTATTTTATAGTTCTACGTTAAAACCACTAAATAATATTTAAACTACCATGGCTACTCAAACTACTGCATTTATATACAAGGTGATGAGATAAACACATTTCCTTGTTTTTGTTTGTATTGTCGTGTCATCAAACTGTAGAAATCAAAAATGGAGTACAGCAAAAAAAAAACAGTTACATATTTAAAAAAGTATATTTATTATTTTTTTTACATTTAAAAATTACTATTACCCATATATTTGAGAAATAATAATAAGAATAACAATAATTATAAAAAAGTTAAGATAAACCTTCCGGCTCATATCAGTACTTTCGGGTATAATTCAAATCAATATAAAACAAATTCCGATGGGTGACGTAATTAACGACTAAGGGGGTTAAGGGGTCCAGTTGTTATTTGTATTTACATATTTGCGTATATCATATTTGTGGGTATCAGCTCGAAACGGTGTAACCCTTATTTAATTATTTTTTTGTAAAATATACTTTCATCGATAGTAAGTTACATAATTATTATATCGATACATTTCCAGAAATGTGGCTTATCTCAAAATTATCTAATTCATCAGGAAGATGGCTTAAAAAAATTGAGACCATCTGTGTCAGTTGATGAATTGTAGACCATCCCAATTCTTTCATGTGGTTATTCTTAACCAATGAAAAGCTTGGAATCCCAATCACAAACAAATTTAGCATTTTCTCATTGACTTACAATTATATGGACGTCGGGTCCGCGCTAAAAAGTGTCCGCACTTGTAAGGCGCTAAAATCGTATACAGAGCGCGACAGTCTTCATTTGTTCTACTGACAGCGCGATACTGCGATGACATTACAATTTAAATTTCGAATAGGTTGACTTGGGACATTTTTTTCGTGGTTTTTGTATTAGACCCGTCGTCCATTTATTTGTAAGTCAATGCATTTTCTGAACAATTTTTTTTTTAATAATATCAAATGACGAGACGTACAAGTCGTGCGCATGATGGTAAGCTGTCTGTCCATGACAATTGCAAAATCTCAAAATCTTGGTAAGAACTCAAGCAGTTCTATTTAGATGCTATTTTCATGTATACAAAGTTATATATTGATCATATATAATTACTATATATAATATGAATGTGGTTAATTTAAATACCTCATTTATTTAAATTCATCTCCTATATGTATTTCATGGAGTTACACCACTTTTGCATTCATAGCCTCATTTTAAAAAAAACGCATTTTTTGTTTCCTGTAGTCACAGTTGTTTGTAAGTACACCCACCATTACCATATTGAGATTTTAAGATTTATAAATTAGAAAAGGACGGCACTACAACGTCTTGGCATCAATGCTTTCGAAGAGATCGTGGTCGACAAGGTGATTTTATTGATTTGAATTGTACCCTGTATTATCTATAAAAAATCTAAAACGCCATCCTATGTACAAAGTCTTTGGATATAGATTTTTATTTAATACACGTCCATAATTAGACGATCTGCGCCGTTTATCTGTTTTTGTTTAGTTATACGTCAGCTGAAATCATCCTATACCAGACATAGCATAGCAACCATAAGGATTTTTTAATACAAATCATAAAAATCATACAGATTGTATGGAAGCTCCTAATTCATAATTATATTTTCTATAAAATACTGGTAACTTAGTGTACAATTAGTTAGTAATCGAGCTTTATCTTCCATACATTTTTGTATGAAACATCATACAATGTTTTGTACAAATGTATGTAACTTTTGAGCGAAACTATTGTTTCGGACCGCATATCGTACAAAATATAGAATGATTACATAGAAGAAAATTGAGACGTCATAGATTATCATTATATTTTGTTAATAAAGGTACCATTGTTAACATAACCGAGTTGTATGAAAAAGATTTTTGAGACAAAAATAGGGGGTGCTTTTTTATTAATGTACTGTTTCTCCATACAAATTCGTAATTTTCTATTTTCTATCACATCGAGATATCACTATATAAGTCCATATAAAATGTTTTGTACATTAAACAAAAAATGTAAAAAAATATTGTTTTATACATTTGGTAACCATACAAATACGTCAAAATGGAATTTGACATATAAAGAATCAAATTCAATATTAAAAATGTGATAACATACTTTTGAAGGTATCAACCGGCCACATCGAATCTACACTTTCTTTGTTACGGTACCCGTGTGTTCGTAATGGATTTATTCAACATAATAAGAATTACATTTCTGATAAACTCCATGACCGTTTGATTTTTCCCATTATCAACGAGTGTCTAATACAAAGAGAACATTAAAACAGTCCATTTACTCTGGGTTCTTCTATTTTTGGTATTTGAATTATAAGATACGATATATATAACAAGAATTACTTGAGCTTCGGCGTGGTACATTTTCAAAAATGCAAACCGATGTCTTCTAAAACTGGATTTTCAGCGTAACTAGAGCCCTATTTTAGTACACTTAACCGTTCAAACTGGGTTCTTCTCTGGTTGGGCGTTTCGGTATGAACGAGACGGTCATCATGTCTTCGTCCTCTTGGAGAAGGCAACCTTCATTTGACTTGCTTCGGTTGAAAAATCTGGAGAAAGAGGTTATTAGTTAAATTATTGATTACACCATATGTTATACGCTTTTCAAGTTTCTGCTCTTCCAAGTATCAACACACACATATCATGCAGCACCAATAGCCTGGTTGGGAGAATGCTTGCTTTCAATATAGAAAGTCCTGTGGTTGCTGCAAGAACAGCTCAAAACATGTATGGTTTTCAAAAACGGAATGTTTTCAACATTTCAGACATAAAACCATCTTTTTAGAGGTGATCTATGCCCAACGGTAGGACGTATTCGATATAATGATGATGATTTTAACATAAAAAAATCGAGAGTAAAAATGCGGGGCGTAATTCAGCGGCGTAATATGTATTTTATTAGTTAGGGGCAGGAATATAAACCCACGCTCGCAAAACAAAATAAAGACAAACAAACACATCACAAAACAAGTACACAAAATATCATGCTAGCATACTGGGTAAAAATTAAATATATAATATATACCACTAAAATTTAATATCCACACAATTAGGAAACAACTTTAAGTTTTGGTAAATTTGGTAATTTATAATGCTAGTAACAGCTTAAAAGAATGTCCTAGACTTCCTGTAAATTACTTTTAGGTCCGCAATAATAAATTCGCAAGTATTAGATCGTACTTAAGTTAACTGAGTGCTATCTCACTCACGCATCGATCTTCCCGGCAGTTATCATAATAACAATAGTGTTAGAGGACGACGCCAATTATTTGGTCTCAAATTAGGACATTCCTTGCACTATGCGTACCACAGCAATGGAATCCACTCCATTACTTAGAACACCCATACAAGAGCCAATTTAGACAAGCACATTTCGACCCCTCCTACGTCTTTACGTTTATACTGTCACCCGACCCGCCCAGTCTCACTTTAGTTTACCCGCTTATTGACTCACATCCGAGTTAGTATTAAATTATAAAATAAATTGTGGTTGTTCATCTAACTGATATCTAGGATTTTATAATAGGTACTCTTCGTGAGTAACTAGCTTTGCCGAATAATACTGAGAAATGCTAAAGTCACTTGTTATGCTCATTCCAGTGAATTCAGAACTTTAAAAGGCTCCCCTGTAAACTTGGCAATTTCGACGTACGATACCTTACGTAGGAGGGGTCGATTTATCAAATTGGTTCGGAATCGAACCCGGGACTTCATAATCTAACGCCCACAGTGCAAACATTTGGGTCCCCGAGGTAAAAAAAGGAATATTATATATATATAGATATTATATACCTCAATTATAACAGTATCTCGATATATATTTTTTTATAAAACTGAGTTTTTGAACCATGTAATATAAAGAAACTGGCCGCCCTCCACCGCAGTTCTTTTACATACCAATGATTAAATTACTTCAAAAATTAAATAGTTAAAAGATAACACACATTACCTTGCATTACAAAGCAATATCGAACCATAACGTAACCAAAATAATCTTTAAAAAATCAAAGAAATAAATTTTCACCCCGCATAAAACAATATCCACCCAGATGCACGACAGACAGAAAAAAAAGAGAAAGTTCTACACACCAAAAGCACTAAACCTTTATCAGGGCAGATGTCCACGAGATGCGCCTTTTGCTGTGCCAGAGAGAGAGAGAAAGATATTGATGAGAAACAAAAGTGATAATTGATGTAACTGTGAGAAAGAAGCAATTGCAATAACATAAGGCTCGTTATCCATCAAATAGGAGCGGAGAACAGTGTACTAGAAAAACCGGAACACTTCATACACAATTTTTTTATTTATTTTTTTTTATTTAATTGATTGGTATATTAGGTTAAAATATACAGGTATTAGAAACTAAAACTCAGATTAAATTATATGAATAAAACTGGGCCCCCGCGGTAGGTGCCAAGATGCTGGCAGCGTTTGCCCTTTATATGGCTATGCTAATGCGTTGGGCTAGGTAGCTGCCGGCCCTTGGGTTTCCCAGACAGTCTATAAATTTTTTGGATAAAATTTTACAGTTGAAGGGCACCGGTTCCCCATGGGCCAAGGGCTGCAAATAGGCTGCAAATTTCTCTTCATTTTTTCCGCCAACTCAGTTGCGTAGCCAGCCTTCTTTGTGGTGTGCTGGAGATGGATTGGGCAAGTCGGCACAAGTTGCGTCTCACACAAGTGCCCGACCCGTGCTCCAAGGGGATTATTAGACACACATATTATTCATTCATTGGTTTATACAATATTTATATATGAACGTGTAAAAATATTTACGTCCTATTTTATAAAACCGTCGTTAAAACCTAAAACATGCTTCCCTGAACTGGAATTGGAAATGTCGCTTACGCCCATTCTACAAACCACGGACGATTTGTGAAAATAAGGCAAGCAGGATTTAGAAAATTACATTTAGCAATGTTTATACAGTGTTATGCCAAATAAAACATTAAAAGATATATCTAAACGTAGAGCGTAATAACGAGTCTTCGATTTATAATTTTATCAACTTTTCTGAGAATTTTCCTGAAAATTTTCCACTAACCGCTTCATCAAAGAATGTCTAAATTTTTTTATGTGTTTTGACACACGCCTGTCCATAACAGTTGCAGTGCAACTCAGGTTTTAAATCGCAAAGATCAGAGGGGCACTGCCACTGCGCCCGTCACCCTGAGACATAATTTCACAAGTCCCATGTGCCTGTAATTTTACCAACACCCTTAGCAACCGGAACACAGTAAAGCTAACATTACTGCTTGACCGCAGTAATTTTTAGTTAGTTAGGTAGTTAGTAATTTGTTTATGATGTATGGAAGTTGTTAACAATTGAAAAATAAGCCTGTATATTATCTATGTGGTCACAACTTGTAAAAAACATTAAGAGACAAATAAGTATATAATGGATTGTGATGAAAGTGTCATATTAATATATGCAAGAGCGAAACAGCAATAATTATAAAGTGCCAGAGAAACACACCAATTGATCTGGTCTCAAGTAGAGACTCTACTGAATACGAACGAGAACGTAATGATCCAAACATGCTGGGACGAACTACATGAGTGGTTTACATGTAAGAAAAGCTTTTATATTATCTTCCGCCGTAGTTTTAAGAGTCTTGATTTTGTATATAAAAAAGTCAAATTGTTTCGCTTTTTGGAAGTTGAACTAGACCCTTATCTGAGATGGCATAACCAAATAGAAAGCGTGAACAAAAGATTGGCAAGTGCGTGTTACTCTTCAAAAAGTCTCTCAATAATAGCAGACACTGACAGACAGACACATTGTAATATTTTTATTTTGAAAGCATTATTAGATATTATATCGAAGGTTGGGGCAATGGATATAATATAAACTCTGTTCTACTAATGCAAAAAAAGGCTATACGGCTAATTGTTAACTCCAAACGCGTACCGGTTACTCACTTCGGTGTTTTGTTTGTAAACAACAAAATCCTTACAATTACCTCATTAAACCTTTATCGAATATGTCTCCATGTTCTTATAAATAAGGAAAAATTCTCAACAGGCCAAAGTCATAATTTCAACCTTAGATATAAGAATCGACTGGTATTAAATAATTCTCGGTTTGTTAATTTCAACAACAGTGTCAACAACATCGCAATCAAAGTGTTTGCATTATATTCAATTAATGAATGCTTTGCTAATGCATTGGATAAATAAAATATAATTTATATTGTAATTTAATATTGTATGTAATTTAAATAATGACATGTTGTAACTTCGATTTACAATAAGAATTACGTTATATAAGGCTTGTGGAATGCTTGTATATGATAAAAAAAATATAAAAATAATTGAATATAAATTCAATAAAAATTTAATTACAGTAAATAGCGACATCTCTAGCTGGGGTAGCATCTCTAGGTAAGGTGTCTGAGTGACGAGTTACTTTCATAGATTTCTCACAGATGGCGCGGCTAAAAGTCGTCGAAAACCAAAATACAAAGATCCGACAAAAAGCACAAAGAAAAATTTGTGAGGTCCGCTGGTTCCTTTCGTGACTTAATTGGCATAGCGTCTGGCACGGTTTGCTAGAAGACGTCGGTTCCAATTTGGCCGGATTGAAGGAATTTTTTCTAAGTGTTCTATGTTTATACAAACAAATTTAGTGTCAGTAGTTTTAAATCTCGTTTGAAATAAATATAACAAATGATAAATATGTACATATGTTTATTTACAAAGAGCAACCCCTAGAGTTTCTTGCTCATTCTTTTCAAGGGACTCTACCTTGCGAATAAGCAGTAGAGTTTAATCAATATGACGATTTCAAATCTAACTTTGCTTACCAATGAAAAAGGGTTTTTTGAGTTTAAGTTTGTGATATTGTATTGAGTAATAAAATGTGTATAAAGATATGAAAAGAAATAATGAATACACGCATAGAGCGAACAAGTTGTTCGTGGTAGACATGATAGAATAAAAGAGACAAGTTGAGACAAGCCATGGCGAGAATTAGAAAACCCCATAAACTTAAATTTAATTACCTAATTTTCTGTAAGAAAAATAACTTAGAGGTTTAATAACGAGATGAAGAAGTCCATTTATTTAATGTTTAAAACAAGACTTGAAAGAGTGAAAATACCACCATAGAAGAAGTAATAATACCCATTTCATATACAAAGGGTATTTTCATTCCACGCATTCCACTCGTAATTGAGTGAAAATACCACCCCAAAAGAAGTAAATACACGCCTCCGGCGTTCAAAACGGTATTCTAATTCAATTCCTTTCCATTTTTTAAAACAGTTAAAATACCACCCCTAAAGAAGTAAATAAACCCTTCCGTTATACTTATTCCACCCTTTCTACTCGTAAAAGTTAAAATACCTCCCCAAAAGAAGTAAATACACGCCTCCAGAGTTCATAAAAGTGGTCTCATTACACTCTTTCCAATCTTAAATGAGTTAAAACACCACCTCAAAATAAGTAAATGCACCCGTCCCATAAAACGAAGGGTATTTACTATTTCACCTTTTTCCATACATAAAATGGTATTATAAACAAATTATCAAATTTTTCCCTCTAAGGTGTGAAAATACCACCCCAAAGAGGCAGCGAGGGGTTGAAAATCCGATACATACTTGGCAAGCGGTGAGGCTCCTCTGTCGTTCGGCTCGATTCGTTCATCCAGACCTCTGTGTACTGAAACCGAGTCCAGGTCTTCCAAATGTACTGATTGGAGATACTCTGGAGTGCGCAGTTGCTCCGCTGTTGGTTTCTTGAAGCTATGGACGGGATACAAACATTTTAAATAGAATAGAATAGAACAGAAAAACATTTTATTCACGGTTCGCAACACTTCAATAAACATACTTTGTAAATTTAGAAAGAGAAAAATAATAATAATTAAAAAATAATAAAATAATTGTAACTTTTTCATTGAAAAAGAAAACCCGACTTCAAAAGTTTGCTTATGGCCTTTTTTCGACTTCCATGGGATCCCCTCATCAGATTCTAACTTCTTGGTGACAAAGGAACTGTTACGGACTCCTTTGTACAGTTTATACTTTTTTTCCTGTAGTATTGTAGTATAGATAGACCATATTTATAGTCTCACTGCAACATGTGGTGCGTATTGCTTGGTTAGCATTTAAGTTTACATTTAATTTAAATTGTATTATTTACTTACTTATATTCTGGAGACCGAACAATAAACATGTCTCTTTAAATCAACATATTTCACTCTACCATCTATGTCCATCCTTTTTAATAATATGAATTCATGGTGACGGTTGGTCAAGTGAAAAGTGAACTTATACGTCTCAGAGTGACAGGGGCAGTGGCAGTGCTCCTCAGATCCTTGTGATTTAAATCTCTGAGTGGTACTGCAACTGCTATGGACAAGCGTGTCGCTTAATACCAGCCGACTTGTCCGTCCCCACATTTGGTATCATAAAAAAAAAATAAGTTTGTGTTCTAAATTGGCCCGACCTATATTATCAATTGAAAGTTAGATTACCTTGAATGTGTGATCTGGTTAGCACAGTGCTGGAAATTCTGCTGTTTGACATGTGGCTATTGGCTAGAGGATCTACCCACCCTTGGTTTGTATAGCGTATGTACTTATACATTTTTTTTTGTACAATTACAAAATTGAAAGTTACAAATTTACTTACGTCTTAAGTAACAAACTGGAACAAACAACAGAGACGGAGCTCATCGCCATCGCTGCTGACGCCATCCACGGCTGCAAATATGACACATTTAAAAGTATTAAAACAATACGTCAGATATAAATAAAAATCATTTTAACACTTACAAGGAATCGCCAAACTGTTAAGACTAAAAATTATTAACCAATGTTATGTCATATGAGATGTAATTTAATATATTTTGTCCTCTGTGCGAGTGATATTTTGTGTGTGCATGCATGTATTTTATCATACGTGGAAGCGACCGTTCGTTCGTGCATCTGTGCGATCGTGCATTTGTGCGTGCAAAAGTTTGATCGTGCATTTGTGCGTGCATAAATTTGATTGTGCATTTGTGCGTGCATAAGTTTGATCGTGCATTTGTGCGTG